CACCAGTGGCCCAAAATCCATGGTCCATGTCTGAGAAACACTGGTCTAGATTACCCTTGGCAACAGTGCAGAAGAGGAGGTGGCCAGTGTCCTCCTACCTCTTCATCTTTTCTCTCTCTCTCGCTGACATTCTTTCTCTTTTCTTAGACTTGTGGGGACTACATTTCAATTTCTCCCTAACCCATCCCAGCCTCTGACACATAGAGCTTCCAAATTAGTTTCAGGACATTTCACACTCAGAAAAAATTATGTATAATAGGAGTAAGATGCTTTTCTTGTGTGTGGCAACCCTGGTATTGATCACAGGCACCACATATGGTCCCCTGAGCAATTAAAAATTATAACACTATCCAGTAATAAAGACAACTAGGGGACAGGGATATGTGAGAGTTGGGCTCAAACTCTAGCTCCACCCCCAGACAAAAAGAAAAGAGCATAGTACTGATGAAAGAATAGAAAAACACTGGGGGCTAAAGAGATCAGGGTTCAGTCCCCAGCACCTATATGGTCCCCTGAGCTCTCCAGGAATGACCTCTGAATAAGCTCTGAGCACTGCTGGGTGTAAACACCATGCATGCACGCACCCAAGCGCGCGCGTACACACACACACACATACACACACACCACTACTAAAACAACTGGACATCCAGATTTAAAAAATAAATACAGGCTGGGGAGATAGTACAGTTGCTTTACACTCAGCCAAACTCAGTTCAATCCCAGGCATTACATATGGTCTCCCAGGAGTGACCCCTGAGTCAGAGGGAGGAATAGGAATGTGAGTTTAGAGGTAGAATACTTATTTTGTATGTGTGCGTCCCTAATTTCAATGGCTGGCAACACACACAATATATATATTAAAAATATTTTTTACTACATGAAAAATGATACCTAAATGAAAAATATAGTACTTCTGGAAGAAAATATAGGTGATAAATTAAGTGATGTGAAGGTTGGTAATATGTTTTTGGACAAACGCTCAATTCATGAAAGAAAAAAACTGGTACTAGGGTATGGCTGCAGAGATAGTAAAGCGGGTAAGGTACTCACTATGCACGGGGCCAATTCAGGTTCAATCCCCGGCATCCCATACCCTGGCATCCCGTACCACCCCCAGAGCATTTCCAGGAGTGATTTTTAAGTGCAGAACCCCTGAGCATTACTGGGTGTGGCCCAAACACACACACACACACACACACACACACACACACACACGATGTTAAACTTAAAATTTGATATAATTAAAACTGATATAATTTTAAATTTATATCATTTAAAATTTCTCTAGGAAAGACTCTGTTAAGAAAATAAAAAGAGTATGGAGCAATAGCACAGCGAGTAGGGCGGTTGCCTTGCCTGCAGCCAACCCGGGTTCGATTCCCAGCATCCCATATGGTCCCCTGAGCACTGCCAGGAGTAATTCCTGAGTGCAAATTCAGGAGTAACCCCTGAGCATCGCCGGGTGTGACCCCCCCCAAAAAAGCAATAAATAAATAAATAAATAAATAAAAGTTATTACTAGATACACACAAAGGAGAAATTGTCTCAGGGGATGGAGCTGTTACACTTTATGGTAGTAATCACTTCATTATACATATGTATACCAAATCATCAAATCTAAATCTTCAAGTTACTTATACTGTACGTTGATATCATCTTTAAAAAGCTGGAGAAGAAAAGGATCTAGAGTAAAAGGATTTAGAATACCTGCCTTACAGGAATTGTTAAAATTTCTGGTATTGAGTCAGGCCAAGTGCATGCTGTGCATGTAGAATAACTGAGCTTAATCTCTGGGCTACGTGGCCCCCTGAGAGCACCATTGCATTACATCAAGTCCTATCCTGTGACCTCTGCTGTTTGAGCCTGGTAATTCAACTGACTGTGACCCCAGTATTGCAAGCGATTTCTGGTCTCACCACAGCAAGTTATGTGAGCCCACAAACAGATGCAACTCCAAAAAGCAACTTTAAAAAATGTGTGAACAACAGGGCCCGGAGCGATAGTACAGCAGGTAGGGCGTTTGCCTTGCACGCAGCTGACCCAGGTTCGATTCCCGGCATCCCATATGGTTCCCCAAGCACCCCTGAGCATAGCTGGGTGTGACCCACAAACCAAAAAAAAAAAATGTGTGAACAACACTAAAAAAAATTAAATTGGATACCTACCTCACGGGGCTGGAGCGATAGCACAGCGGGTAGGGCGTTTTCCTTACATGCAGCCAACATGGCTGACCCGAGTTCGATTCCTCTGCCCCTCTCGGAGAGCCTGGCAAGCTACCGAGAGCACCTCGCCCGCATGGCAGAGCCTGGCAAGCTCCCCGTGACGTATTCTATATGCCAAACACAGTAACAAGTCTCACAATGTTACTGGGCCCGCTCGACCAAATGAATGAACCAAATCGATGAACAACGGGAGGACTGTGACCTATCTCACACCATACACAAAAGTTGATTCAAAATGGATTAAAGACTTTAATACCAAACCTATCTTTACAAAATTCATGAAGAAAACATAGGCAGAACTTTTCAAGATCTTTTATGGCATTTTGGGTCACACCCGGCCATGGTCAGGGGTTACTCCTGGGTCTGCACTCAAGAATTACTCCTGGGAGCTCTTGCTTGCTTGCTTGGACCATATGGGATGCCATGATTGGACCTGTGGTGGTCACGTGTCAGGCAAACACCCTACCTGCTAAACTATCACTCCGGCCCCATTTCCAAGTACTTGACCTCAAAGGAGTCTTCGATGAAAATACCTCATCGGTAAAGAAAACAAAAGCAGGTAAGTGCCCTCCCCACTGTACTCTGTCCCCTAAGTAAAACTTTTCCTTAGGGGTTGAGTGATAGTACAGCGCGTAGTACAGCAGATAGTACAGCAGACCTGGGTTTGATCCCCAGCATCCCATATAGTTCCTCCAGCACTGCCAGGAGTAATTCTTGAGTGCAGAGCCAGGAATGACCCCTGAGCATCACTACGTGTGACACCCATCACATGGGTTGCTGCTGGCTCTGCACTCATGAATCACTCACGACAGACACAATATGGGTGCTGGGGATTGAACCAGGATGGCTGGGTGCAAGGCAAGCACCTTACCCACTGCACTATCTCTCCAGTCCCTATATAACACTTTTAAGGTTGTCTGTTTCTGGGGGCTTTTATATAGATAAAAGGCCTTAGTCTGGAGCCTGAGATAGCACAGGGTTAAGGCACTTGCCCTGCATGCCAGCAACCAGGGTTCAATTTTGCTACAGTCCCCTACTCCCAGCAGGAACGATCTCTGAGCACAGAGCCCTGAGTACTGCTGTCCAAAGACAAAAACAAACAAACAAACAAAAAAACATAGGGGCTGGAGTGATAGCACAGCGGGTACGGTGTTTGCCTTGCATGCGGCCTACCCGGGTTCGATTACCAGTATCCCATATGGTCCCCCCCCCCCCCCCCGGGCACCGCCAGGGGTAATTCCTGAGTGCATGAGCCAGGAGAAACCCCTGTGCATTGCCGGGTGTGACCCCCCCAAAAAAAAACCCCATAAACTAAGAGTTCTTATTCTGAAGTTCTAAAACTTTATCACAACATCAAGATAACCTAGAGGGCATATTAAAATAATCCCTGAAGCTGGAGAGATAGTACAGCAAGTAGGACCTTGCAAGCAGCCAACCAGGGTTAAATCCCAGGCACTACATATGGTCTCCTGTCTGCCAGAAGTAATCCGAGTGGCAGAGTCAGGAGTAAACCCTGAGCACAACTGGGTAGGGCCCTAAAACCAAAACAAACAAACAACTAGTCCACAGAGAGGGCTCAACAGCTTTGCATGAGGGAAGTGCCTGGCATCACATGGTCCCATGCCCCGTTACCTGCCTCAAGCACTTCCAGGAATGATCCCTGAGCTCAGCTGGGCGTCCAAGAAAACCAAAAATCAACCAAGTGAAAACAAAACAAAACAAAGTATGAAGCCCCACTTCCAGCGTTTCTGATGCAGATCTAGGCTGAGATTAGAAATCTGGCATTCCTAATAAATCCCCTCCTGCTTTTGGTGTAAACTCAAGGATTAAACCAATGAGGAAACTTTATTACATCCATCAAGCATTTGGGGGGACATTCGTTGAAAATTGGGGTGATTCAGAGGACCTCTTGAATCCCTTTTATCTTCTCTCCTTACCTCCCCCCTGCCGCCCTCCCGCCCAAGGCCCAGTGATTTAACAATACACACGCAAAATAAAGTCACTCTCATTAAGGTATGCAGCAAATATTTATTCGTCTATTTTTTACAGAGGAGGCTGGAATTCCATTTTATTTTTGAGACTGGAATTTTAAATAACTTGCCCAACGTCATCAGGTATGGAAAACATTAAGACATGGAGTTTGCACCAGAACCCATGTGGCCGCTGACCCTGGTTCTAAACCCGGCGGCTGCCTCTCACGCAGCTGCCTGTCCCCTGCCCTTTCTTTCCCGCAGCCTCTTTCCTCAGTCCTCCCTGATACCGACCTTGTACCAGACTCACGGGCAAGGACAAAGTCCCGAATCCGCGACCACCCCGGCCACTTGCCGGCTCTACTGTGTACTAAGGCGGCTGGACAGAGGCACCAAAACCCTGCCGTGGCGTGCCTGATCCTCCGCCCGGCTGCGGGGAACCGAGGAGCCCAGCACAGTGACCGGGCGCCCTCGCTGCCCGCGGAGATGAGCGCAAGTCCTCGCCGCCCCGCGGGCAGCCTGACCTTCAGGCTCGGGACCGCGGCTTTGGAAACCCCAGCCCGGAATGAACCCGGAGAGAGACTTAGAAGGGCACACGCCCCGTACGAAGGAACAACGGCAGCTGCTGCTGCTGCTCTTGGCGCGGGCTCGCGGGCCCAGGGACCGACCTCCTCTTCGCGTCCAGCGACCGGACTGCGGCGCCGACGACTCCTCCTGCGCCCGCGTTCGCCACCGCCGGGCCCGGGGCCCCTAGAGTTAACTCAAACCGCCTCTGAGCCCATTCCGGGGCCGGGGAGCCGTGAACGCCTCCCATTGGCCGAGGGCCCGGCTTCGCGCTGATTGGGCGGCTCCGGGTTCCCGGAGGCTCCTTATTGGACGCCTCCCTCCAATGACTGAAGCGTGGCGGCCCCGCCTTCGCCGGCTACCTCGGCCGTAGCTGCTGAGGGCTCCAGGAGCTGCCTGGGGACGTTCATTTCTGTCTGGGTGCCGATGATTTCTTTCCCAGATCAAGAGCTTCTTGCAGTCCCGAGAACGCCAACGGATCTTCTCCCGAATCCTTAACTTGCTGGTTTTCTTTTGCCTTCCTCCTCGGCTCCCATTTCCCAGCTCCGCATTTCTTCCTCCTATTGCCGGGCCCCGTAGCCTATCATCAGCATCCCACCGGCTTCTGGCTTCTACCCCTCCCTAACCTCACAGCCTTGACCAACCTGGTCCTTCTCCCCAGATTCCTAAACTCCTTCTCACCTAGACCAGCTTCTGACTCCCAGATTCCAGCTAACCCTTGACCTCTTCACATTTGACCCTGACTCTTGACCCCACACCTAAACCCTTCCTCTCTTAGCCTGGATCGCTGAAACTGAGGTCTCCGCCCGGTTTCTGCCTCCCTCCCTTGAAGCTCCTTTTGACTTTCTTACCTCCGCACTTAGTTCCTGCTGCTGCTTTCTACCATGGACTTCTTGATGAGCGGCCTGGCGGCCTGTGGGGCCTGTTTGTTCACCAACCCCTTGGAGGTGGTGAAGACCAGGATGCAGTTGCAAGGAGAACTACAGGCTCCCGGCACCTACCAGCGGCACTACCGAAATGTCTTCCATGCTTTCATCACCATCGGCAAGGTGGATGGCCTGGCTGCCCTGCAGAAGGGCCTGGCCCCTGCCCTCTTATACCAGTTCCTGATGAATGGCATTCGGCTGGGCACCTATGGGCTGGCTGAGGCTGGGGGCTACCTGCACACAGCTGAAGGCACCCTCAGCCCTCCCCGCAGCGCAGCAGCTGGGGCCATGGCTGGGGTCATGGGAGCCTACTTGGGGAGCCCCATCTACATGGTGAGAAGGGTCTTTTCTGGGGCCTTCAGGACTGACCCTTGATGTAGGGTGGGGGCTGGGTCTTCTGAACGTAATACTGAGGTTGTTTGTGTGGGAGAGGGTGAGGAATTTGATTAACACATCAGTAAGTATAGGGACAGAAGTCCTAGGAATCACAGAATTATAATCTCCTTTAATTGTCTGGTATAGGTGAAAGGTTGGTAGCCTGAGACCCAGAGAGAAGATGTGACCAGCTCAAGGTCATGGGCCAAAGAGATTGTATAGGGAGTAAGAGCACATGGCATGTGGCCAAAGGCTGACCCCAGTTTGATGCCCCTTGCCACACAGCCTCCTGGGGGGCCCCCAAATATTACCAGTGTGGCCCAGGTAATCCCCCACACTGCAGGGCTAGAGTAGCACCATATCCTTAGGCCCTGCATTGAGCCTGCTGGTCCTATTGGCCAAGAATCATTAGGAGGCCGTTTACCCCCACTCCAGATCTCCTGAACACACTATGGGAGATTAAAAAACAGGGTTTGGGGGTTGGAGGGGTGGGAGGGCTTGTTAAACCTGTTCATTGCTAGGACTGGGCCTACTTAATTCTTCCAGAAAGATTGACAGCCTATGATTACTTGGAATAAGAGGAAATCTGGTTTCTCTCTCAGGCAATGGGATCCAGAAACAGTGGCTTCTTCAAAGTCACTGGACCTCTGCCCCCATCCCAAGGATTTGGAGCCAGAGAGCACGTTTTACTTCACAATCTGCCCAGAATCTGATGGGGAGCTTGGTTATGGCGGTAGCCAAAGATCTGGCCTGGGAACAGAGCTGGCTTGAGAGGCTGGACACTCAGAACTTGCCTAACATGAACAGTCTTAGGAAATATGGCCATTTTTCAACGTTCCATCCCCCACTCCTACCCTCAAGGGAGGGAGAGCATAGAGGGGGAGGGGTGTCTTGCAGTGCTAGGAGATCCATCCACTGGGACTAGAGCCAAGGGACACAATCTCATGACCAGTTTCTTAAGTAGAAACAACAGTAATTATCAGCTTAAGAGTGACATTTGTTGCTGAACACCCCAGAGGAAGTGCAAGGGGGTCAGGCATTTGAGGCTCTGGGCCAGAGGATATAATAATTCTCTTATCCCCAGGTAAAGACACATCTGCAGGCACAGGCAACCTCAGAAATTGCTGTTGGGCACCAGTATAAGCATCAGGTGAGGATTTTTCCACTCTTCTTGAATCCCTGTATTTATTCCCATTTCTCTGCCCACCACCATCACCGATTTCTGCCTGCATGGACCAACTCCAGCCCAGCCTCAGCTCTGCCTACCCCGTTGATTCTGCCCTCAAGAGTCCACCTTGTTCTCAATTCCTCTAGTCTTCTGCACCTGTTTCCTTGTCCCGGTCTTCTTCTGACATACTGAAATCCTTACTTCCGTGCATCCTGCCCCTATTCTGGGGTGGCAAAGGAGGGAACAGTGGGGTGATAGAGAGCTGACTCCCGGCCTACATGAACTGGCTGCCTAAACATGGGTCCCTTGCTAAGTCTCCATTCTTGACAGCGTGAGGAGGTGGCAGCCCCCGCTGCAGCAATGACTGAACTCTACCCCCTTGGTCTTCTCCCACCAGGGCATGTTTCAGGCACTAGTCGAGATTGGCCAGAAACATGGTCTGATGGGATTATGGCGTGGGGCTCTGGGCGGCCTGCCCCGAGTGGTCATCGGTTCCTCCACCCAGCTGTGCACCTTCTCTTCTACCAAGGACCTCCTGACCCAGTGGGAGGTACTGCCTGGGAAGGGGGTGGGGCCATCCCGGGAGTGGAATATGGGCAGGGGGAGAGTGACATTTAATATGCGAGAGAGATAGGAGGGCTCAGGGGTCACTAACTGTGCCCTGCCAGTTCTCTTGTTCCTTCCTCCCTGAAGGTGTATGTGAGTTCACAGGGCTCCCTGCCCTTCCTCCTTCAGAGCAGTACCTTACTGTTTAACACAGAGAAGGGAGTGGAAGCTTAACAGTGAGATTAACAGCTCACTACTCAGACCCCCAGAAAGGGGTCTACCCTGGGGCTGCAGCAATAGCACAGCACGTAGGGTTTTTGCCTTGCACACAACCAACCCAGGTTTGATCTCCAACACCGCATATGGTTCTCTGAGCACTGCCAAGACTAATTCCTGAGTGCAGAGCCAGAAGTAACCTCTGAGCACCACTGAGTGTGACCCAAAAAACAAAAAGAGAAAAAAAGGGGGGATCTGCTCTTTCCCAGGGGTAGAATAATAATACGATTGACAAAGCTCTTCCTCCCTTCACCCTTAGGTATTTCCCCCCCAGAGCTGGAAGATCGCTCTGCTAGCTGCAATGGTGAGTGGAATTGCAGTAGTATTGGCTATGACTCCCTTTGATGTGGCCTGTACAAGACTCTACAACCAGCCCACAGATGCCCAGGGCAAGGTACGGAAATCCTCTGGGGTCGGACAGGCAGGGAGCGCTGAGGGGGTGGGGGGCGGTGGCGCGGGGCGGACCGATGTGGGTGCAGGGTGGAATAGTCTGAAAAAGCAGCCTGTAGCGGTTAGGCCCCTGGGAGCTCTGACAACCTCCTTCCCTGTGCTCTTCCTCCCCTGCAACCTGTTCTCAGGGTCTTATGTACCGAGGGATACTGGACGTTCTGCTGCAGACGGCTCGGACAGAGGGCATTTTGGGCATGTACAAGGGTATAGGTGCTTCCTACTTCCGCCTTGGCCCCCATACCATCCTCTCCCTCTTCTTCTGGGACCAGCTGCGCATCCTCTACAACACATACACCAAATAACAGCCATTCCCCCGTTAACCCTCAAATCACCAAATTGACACTCCTTGTACACCCCTGCCTTGATTACTGGTGACTTCTGACCAGTGACTTTTCATCCATCCATGGGGAAAAGCCAATCCCTTTCCCCATCTTTCTCAGGGTTGAATCACAAGGGATAGATGTCCTCCTTTCCTTGTTGCTTTAAACCTTCCCTTCTGACTCACCTCTCCACTTCATACCCATCTCTCAGGGCTGAAGCAGTCACTCCAAAGTGTATTCCTCCCTTTCTCTGTTGCTGCTCTTGGATCCCTTCAGATCCCAGGCATAACTTTAAACTCACTCCCCCTCTCCAAGACCAAAGGGAATTGGAGGGAACCCGGGTGTCCTGTTAGATTCAAAGGCATAGAGATTATATTGGTTTATAAAGTGTTTATTTCTTCAGAAGTAATTTGTCTTATATTTATGCACAGGGAAACGATTAAGGGAATACCACTCCCTTGCTCCCCTTGCAGGCTGGGGTCCCCAAATCTTCAGCAGCATCACGCAGTTTCAGCATCTTTACTGGGGACCAAAGATGTTGGGGTCACGAAGGGTCAGAGAGGTCACCAGCTGTTCAAAGTCCACCAGGCTCCATGGCGGAGGTGCCATGTTTTCAGGGCCGAGAGATGACCTATTTTCAGGGCTTGGGGTAGGGGGCAGATGGAGAGAGAACACCATCCAGGCCTCAGAATTGGAATCTTCTACTTCTGCTTCCCAGGGTACCTAGGGATCTGGGACCCCTCCTAGTCCCTTCTGTTGTCGTGGAGAGCCCATCAGCCAACAGTATCTCTGCTGTGCCCCTCCCAACCGGTTCTCCTGGTAACCCAGTCCTGAGCCACTTGTACTTTCTGTCCTTACGGGGGCTGGTTGAAGGTGAGCAGAAGATCAGTCTGGTACTGGGGCAGCCGCAGCAAGGCCTGGTGCAGTGTCACGTTCTTTGCTACCTAAAGGGATCAGAGTCCTGATGCAATGCGTGATCTATTTTTATTTTATTTATTTATTTATTTTTGCTTTTTGGGTCACACCCGGCGATGCACAGGGGTTACTCCTGGCTCTGCACTCAGGAATGACTCCTGGCGGTGCTCGGGGACCGTATGGGATGCTGGGAATCGAACCCGAGTTGACCGCGTGCAAGGCAAAAGCCCTACCCGCTGTGCTATCGCTCCAGCCCCAAAGCGTGGTCTCCTATGCCACCCCTGCCATCCCTCAGGCTCCCAGGTCTCACCTGCTGGTTTTCTTTAACTATCTGCTGCTGTCCTGAGAGGACCCAGGCTTCTTGGCAGCAGCCCCGTAGGGCCAGGCTCTCTAAAAGCAGGGGTTGCACAGCCTCCACTTGCACGACCCTAGCCTCCTGCACCCCTCCGACATCCTCAAAGTGGTACCTTGAGTGGGGGGAGCTGGGTCAGAAGGGGCCCCGCTCACAGCCTCCCACAAGCGTCCTGCACCCTAAGCTGAGCTCCTCCCCGGCGCGGAGCTGCTGTGGTTGCCCTTGGCGTTCCCGGCCCAGAGTAACCGTCCGGCCGCAGCCCCGCCCCCGCCGCCCTCCTCACCGCGCCGCCGCCTCGCCCTGCACGTGCGCCTGGAGCTCCAGAAGTTCCACGATCAAGCTCTGGTCTGTCACGCGATGGCAGAACACTTCTTGGTTGTCCGGCACGGGTCGAAGGTCGCTGGAGGGAGGCCGGGTTGAGCTGCTTGGCTCGGACTCCCCGCAGCCCACCGGGCACTCTCTGGCTGCTCACCTGACGTCAATGGCCCCCGCGGGGAGAGTGGCCGAGAAGGCGCCCCCGAACAGTGGGTAGTCTCGCGTGGACTCCATGGGCCTGACCTGGGGGTATGGACATTAAATTTAAGCGGGCCAGTGGGCCCACGTGACAGCGCCATCCCCTCCCCCTCCTCCCGCGCCGTTCGCGACAGCCACCTCGGCCTCCGGGCTCAGCTTCCGACGCCCCAAGGCTCGGCCCCGCCCAGCGGCCGCGCCGGCCAACCCGCGCGCGCGCTTTGGGGGCGGTGCTGCCCCCGGAAGCGGCGCTCGGGCAGGGCTCGTGGTCGGGGCGGCTGGGGCCGCGCCGTTGCTCCGCCTTTTAAAGGGGTCGTACCTTCGAGTCTGAGCCCTCTGTAGGGGCGCTTCAACCAAGGGACCGAACTCTTGGTAGAATCCTTTTTGGGGGGGCGGGGGTTCACACCTGGCGATGCACAGGGGTTTCTCCTGGCTCTGCACTCAGGAGTTATTCGTGGGGTGCCCAGGGGACCATATGGGATGCTGGGAATCGAACCCCAGTCGGCCACGTGTAAGGCAAAGGCCCTACCCTCTGTGCTCTCTCTCAGAACCTTGAATTAGTGAGAATAGTTGCTAAATCCCTACTGCTTTGGGGGTCCTCTTCCCTGCAAATGAAACACCAAGCCAACAATTCATTCCTGATCAGATTTCATATCGCTTACACAAGGACTTAAGGGCCAGGTGTGAGGCCAGTTTAGGATTTATTCTTCACACTTTCCTGAAAACAAAACCCAACCCAAGGATTATGTATCTAATTTCCCTCAAATCTTCCACTCTGGGGATGTGGCAAGAGTCTGGAGAAGAAGGCTGTTTACCCAGGCACACTCTCACACACCTGGACAAAAGCTCAGATTAAAGAATTTGTTATTTTTCCATTATAGCTTTGTAGAGTTCTTTACATTTTAGTTCAGATAATTTCTCCAATTCATCTTGATCCTCAGCACCTGGGAGAGTGTTTAGAGGCTAAACAGATGCATTGTGCGTGAACCCAATACTGTTGATATCTGGAGGGGGCACCCCTGCACTTCGGGGTTGCAGAGATCAACTATTTTCCAGCAAAGAACTGAACAAAAGGATTCTCATCCCTTGGCTGTTCTAGCCATATGAAACTCACCTGAAACATGGGTAGTATACCTCCTGACATCCACATATATTTTTGGCCTCTTACCTTGCTAGACTAGGTGAAGGGCTGGAAATATAAAGTTATTTAGGATACAGCCCATGCTTCAGCAGAAATAGAAGGAAGAGTGGAGCATACTTTGAGGCAGAATTCACCAGAGCATCCTAGGAGTATTCGCTTCAGGGAATCTCCAGTCTTTCTTGATGAGGAGCAAAGACTTAGAAATGTGGGCCAGAAAGATAGTACAGCAGTTAGGGTACTTACCACTGGGGGAATGCAAGTATTATGAGTTTGATAAGGTATGGCAGGGAACTGTGAATGCTGCATCAGGAGAAATGTCTGTGTACAACGCTTTTATAGAGCTGTTAAATAGGGACCTTGGAATCCTCACTACTCATGGCAACACTTCTCTTAGAGCTTAGTTTTTAAAACATTGTTAAAATTAAAGGAGGTATGAATTGAATGGAGCTGAATCTAAACCTGTTTCTGGGTAAATTAAGAGAACTAGGTCTGCTCCATGAGGAACTTTAGAGTGGGAATGTTTTAGGTTCCAGAGTTAGAGAAGCATTCTGAATATGGGTACCAGAGTCAGAGTAGGGGGCGTGCCAGAGCGATAGTCCAGAGGGTAAGGCACTTACAAGGCCAACCTGGGTTCAATACCCCATGTGGTCCCCTGGAGTCCTGCCAGGAGTGATTCCTCAGCATAGAACCAGGAGTAATCTCTGAGCACTGATGAGTGTGACCCCAAAACAAACAAACATAAAACCAAGTCAGAGAAGTAGGGGGAATCAGATGAGGTCTGCCCCCAAGATGTTACTCTCATTTCATTTTTTCATTTCATTTCATCATCCTGTTATTCGTCGATTGCCTCGAGCAGGCCCCAGTAACGTCTCTTTCATCCTAGCCCTGAGATTATATTCAAGGCTATTTAGGAGAATGAGACCCATCATTGTTACTGGTATTTGGCATATTGGGTACGCCACGGGGAGTTTGCCAGACTCTGCCCTGTGGGCAGGCTACATTCGATAGCCTGCAAGTTTGTCCAAAGTAGGAATAAGACAATAAGATGTCATAAAAAAAAGTTCTGTTAAGCATCTTCCACCCAGATGTTACTCTCATACGGGAAAAAACAGACCTCTTGTTCCTCTTTGCCTTTTCCTCCCTCTCAACCCCTCACTCCACCTTCCCACCCTGGCTAAGAACAAAACTGGCTCTGGGTGGCTGCTCTGTGAGCAGTCAAGCAGGTAGAGAGCCCACAGGAAGGGACCTGCAAAGACAAAAGTTAGTAGGCCTCTGGGCACAAAGTTCAGGGGCCTTTTTATGGATCAGGAGGAGGTTAGATTATATATTAGGGAAACTGAGCAGAAAGCCCTTCATCACCCAGCCCACCACCTTATTCTGTATCTCTGACATGCCAAAAAAGAGTTATATCCTATGATTTTGGTGGGGTTTTGATAGTTTTTTGTTTTGTCTTTGAACCATATCTCACTGTACTCAGTGCTTGCTCCTGGCTCTGTGCTCTGGGACCACTTCTGGTGGTGCTCAGAGGACCATACATGGTTCCAGAGAGAATTAGGGCCGGCTGCATGTGCGGTAAGCACCCTGCCTACTGTACTATCTGGCCCCCACAACTCTGAAACTCTTTGTCCCAGCAAGGTGTGCTCTTCAGATGGAGACAATAGATCTCTTTGAAGTGACTGAGGCACAGGGAGGGCCAGACCTCTGGGAGTGCTTTGGAAGACCACCCTAGCTCAGCAAAGTCCCCATTGCCCTTTCTTTTGTCCCTTCAACTCTTTATTCTGGCCTTCCCAACAACTGACTTCCCCTGAGGTTCCAAGAGATGGGATCCAGTCCAGTCAATTACTTGCTATTCAATCTGTCAGGATCTGTTTGACAAACACTCCTTCTTGGACAGTTCCCAGGCCTTTAGGCTGTCGCAAATGAAATCCATTGTCCAGGGACTCTGGCTAGCACAATGAAGATCTATCTGGGGGACAAAACTCATGAGCCACTTTTCTTTGGAGTGTGAGGGTGTGTCCAGCTCTCAATTCACTTTTATTAACTGATTTGGGGACCCTGGAACATTCCTTTATTCAATTGTGCAATTGACAATTTAGTTGTTAGCCTTGGGGGGAGATACCCCAGAACTCACCTGACCACTTTGAGTACCCAGTGTTGTCAGGACTTGACATATCAGAGAGAATACAACTCAACACCCAAAATCTAATAACCTTTCTGGGACTAATTAGGATATATTTCTATGAATTCTGTTGCTGTTGTTGTGGGGGCCCATACTTGGCAGGTACATGAGGACTAAAACCTAGGGCTTCTAACATATTAGATACGTTCTCTACTGGTGAAGCCACAACCCAGCCTGCATTTAACTGGAGTGGTGTGGGATGTTGGTGTAGTTTAGTTTTTGAACCACACCTGACAGTGTTGAGGGGCTTCTGGCTCAGTGATACCAGAGTATTATGTGGTTCCAGGGATAAAACTCCGGTCTACTACATGCAGTATGTGTTTTAGGCTCTATAAGCTATCTCCACTAAACCTTGAGCAAGATATTGTTTTTTAATTTGACCATCCCCGGCAATGCTGAGATGCTGAGGGCTCACTCCTGGGCAGAGCTCAGGGGACCAGATAGGGTTCTGGGGTACGAACCTGTGTTAGCTGCATGTAAGGCAAGCATCCTATCCCACCGTACCATTTCTCTAGCCCTCTCTAAGGTTTATTATTTACAGTCACAATGAAAGGAAATGCTAATTTCCAATTAAAGTTCTTAAAAACAAATGCAATCTTTTTCCACCCCACCCAAGTAGGTTGGAGAATAAGAAACCCAAGTATGAAGAGATGTGTCCTGGTCATGTTTACACACCAGCTACAGGGACGCCTAGTGAGACATGCTGCTTCCTTTTGAGTCTCCAGGGAGAATAAGGGAGCTAGGTGATGCAGTGCCAGACATTAGTGCCTTTCTTTAGAGAGGAGAAAACTGTCTCAAAGACATGCCCAGGGCCCTGCGCCAACCAACAGTGACCACATGGGCCCAGAAGATGGCTCACAGAGCTGGAGGGCATGCTTGCACACATCAAGTCTGGAGCCCAGACTCATCCCTGGGACCACATGATCCCTTCTCCCCCCAGCACCACCAAGAGCAACCCCCAATCAAGAAGGGGGACATAATCCCAGAGTACAGATAATTGTGCCCTCATCCCCTTAAGAAAAGGCAGTGGGAGGAAGGTATGATATGAAGACAAAGTTTGTGGAAGATCAGTATGTCTTTATGAATGGGGTGATTCACAGAACCCAATGTAGATGACCTTTTCCTATCCCTTTGTCAAGGCTAGGAAGTTTTTCCTCAGCCCCTGATTAACTTCTTACTTGTCTCTGGACTTTTCATATACTGTGCTCTCAACTTAGGATTTTTTTTTTCTTCCTTTCCCTGTACTAGCTAATCGGCACATTTCCAGAAAAACTTTGAGTTAACAGCTCCTTCTGTAAGTTCCTGGAGCCTCTAATCCTAATGTCCCTACTCACTTCTTCACTTTACTATCATGCTAAATCCCCAGAAAGACAGGGAAACAATTATTTATCTATTGCCTTAAGTTTCCTACTGATTTGTACAAGATAAACATGTTCTCATACATATTTATCTTACACACATTTATATTGTTTCATAAATATTTATAGAGTGAATGTTGCTTAAGAAATGGGTAGTTGAGTGCTCGCTTCGGCAGCACATATTCTAAAATTGGAACGATACAAAGATTAGCATGGTCTCTGCGCAAGGATGACACACAAATTCGTGAAGCATTCCATATTTTTAAGACTAAAGGTAAAGGTAAAGGCCCTCCCGTTGATCGTCGATTTGCTCGAGCGGGCCCAGTAACGTCTCCATTGGAGACTTTGTTGTTACTGTGTCTGGCATATCGAATACTCTCGGTAGCTTGCCGGGCTCTCCGAGAGGGGCGGAGGAATCGAACTCGGGTCGGCTATGTTGGCCGCTTGTAAGGCGAACGCCCTACCCGCTGTGCTATCGCTCCAGCCCTAAAATGCCATATATAACACATTTTTATTTTTCTGTAAGTAAAATTATGAAGAATTCTGATCGTTACACTATAAAAGTACCTCTTCTACAAATGAACTTACGGAATAAAATTCATGATGGTCAAAAAAAAAAAAAGATCCACACTACTCAGGGCAAAAAATAAATAAATAATAAAATATTAGAAACGGAAAAAGAAAAAGAAATGGGTAGTTGAGCTGAAGAAGGTTAGGGCAACAATATCTGACACAGTTGACCAGAGTTTAACCCCTGGCACTGTGTATGATCCCCTAACTGGCCTGGCCTCTACCTATTTCCTAAGAATGAAACAATCCTTTAAACTTCATAATTGAGGGGCTGCTTGCCTTGCATGTAGCCAAACAGGTTTAATCCCCGGCATTCAATATGGTTCTCAAATACTACCAGGAATAACTCTTGAGTGCAAAGCCAGAAGCAACCTTTGAGCATTGCCAGGTGTGCTTTCCCTCCAAATAATAATAATAATAAAATAATGATAATAATCCCCAAAGGAAGGTCTGAAGCAATAGCACAGCAGATAGGATAGTTGCTTTGCATGTAGTCAATTCCAGGCACCTCATATTATCCCCCGAACTTGCCAGGAGTGATCTCTGAGTGCAGACCAGGAGTAAGCCATGAGCATCACTGTGTGCTGCCCCCCACCAAAAGAACAAAATTCCCCATTGCTAGGACCTCTTTATTACTTCTAGTGTGCCATTACAGTTGATGCAGAGGAAGGAATCAGGTTAGAGTAAGTCATACCAGAGAGACCAAGCTGGCGATTAGAGGGTTGGGACTTTGACCATCAACCAAATTAGGCTCTAATAAAAGTTCTAGACACTGAAACTCAGGTGCTTCTTTGCTAGCAGTGATACACCAGGAGGCCGCTATGCCCTCGACTCCTGGGAGAAACAGCATGGCAGCATAGCTTCTGAAATCCTTCCAAATTTGCGTCTCTGTATCCTGACAATGGAACAATAACCACAAACTCTTTCCTGAGTTCCAGAAGTTCTGGTGAATTACCGAGTCAAAGGAAACCAAAGGAACTCCTGTATATTCATTTGACCAGAAATGTGATTAGCCTGGAATCCCTGATTTGTAGCTGAAATGAGGCTGGCCTTGTGGAAAACCAAGCCTGTGTGAAGTCTGACACGGACTCTGGGTGGCACCTCCTAGAAGCTGCCCTTGGGTCCCTTGGGTCTCAGCCTCCAAGGTGCTATATAGTTTAGGTTGTCTTGTTTTTTTAAATCTACTTTATTTAGCCAAGACCATTTCCTCATCACCTTTTAGAGGTAAGTTGTTTGGGAGTGGTAAGGGCTATCTGTTTGTTCTCTTTGTTGAGAAAGGATATGGAAGAGAGGAGCTTGCCTTATGTCTGCAGATCTGGGACTCAGTGGCAGGAAATAGTCTTGTTCGTAATCCTTTCTGCTCTGGATACCTTCTCAGAGGTGACTCAGTCAGTGGAGAACCACTCTTTCGATTTTAAGCTTTGTGGTGCCATTCTTCCTGTCTCCTCTCTTCTGTCAACTCCTTAAAAGTGGGGTTTCCAAGGCCCCACATACTTATACACTTGGGAATGCATGCCAGCGTCTCCCCAATTTTCCTCTCCCTCCCAAATCTCCTCACTGCCTCCATTTGCATGCTCCACCAGAAGCACAAACTCAACATTTAGCGAAGCACAACATTGTCCTAAATATTCACCATCACCTGTTCACTCATCAAGGAAAATGAAATAATCTATCTAGTGTATAATCAACAGCCTGGATTTCATCATGTGCTCTTCTCTCCATCCTCCTCCCATGACTTTCAGTTTCTGTTCATTTTGCCTCCTTAAATGTCTCTAAATCCCAACTTTTTTTTTTTTTAATTTTAGGCTATACCCAGCACTACTTGAGAATTGTTCCTGGTGGTCCTCAGGTGACCAAATGATCCCAGGTAGTAAACCCAGGTCTCCTGCATGCAAAGGATGCAGAGTAGCCTTCTGAGACAACTCCCCAGCCTTCAAATTCTTTCATTTCTCTCTCCACTATGACTATCCTAGTCCTAGCCAGCATACCTGGAAACAACAGATTCTTTTTTTTTTGCTTTTTGGGTCACAGCCAGTGATCACAGATCATCCTGTTATTCGTCGATTGCCTCGAGCAGGCCCCAGTAACGTCTCCTTCATCCTAGCCCTGAGATTATATTCAAGGCTCTTTAGGAGAATGAGACCCATCATTGTTACTGGTATTTGGCATATTGGGTACGCCATGGGGAGTTTGCCAGACTCTGCCGTGTGGGCAGGCTACATTTGGTAGCCTGCCAGTTTGTCAAAGTAGGAATGAGATGTCATAAGATGTCGCGCGGCCGCGAATCCGAGTAGGCTTGGAGATCTCGGCCCCGGAACCCACGTGGCTTTGTCCCTCTGCCGGTACCTTCAGGTGTGCGGAGAGTGGTCTCAGCATGGTGGTGGCTGGTCCTGGAGATCTTCGGCTGCTGGGGCCCTGGCCAGGGCGGGGAGGAAAGCTCAACCCGCTCCCCTCCAAGGGCCCCGGCAAGGAATAGCCAGGCATGGGGGCAGGAGACTGCGCTCTTCTCCGGGAGCTGGTTTTTATAGTCTCAGAGTCTTGGCTGCTGATGGGATTACATGGCGCCAGGGGGCCAGTTGGTGGGTGTGACCCCCGCCTACTGGAATTTGGAGGATCTGGGTGGAGGATGCTCGACTCCAATCCGAGTAGGCTTGGAGATCTCGGCCCCGGAACCCACGTGGCTTTGTCCCTCAGCCAGTGATACACAGGGGTTACTCCTGGCTCTGCACTCAGGAATCAGGAATTACTCCTGTCAGTGCTCAGGGGACCATATGGGATGCTGGGAATCAAACCCGGGTTGGCCTCATACAAGGCAAACGCCTTACCTGCTGTGCTATTGCTCCAGTCCCAAACACAAAGATTCTTACTGCACTCTCAACATATTTTTCTGATCTTCCAAAATCATAAACCTGAAGATAGAATAATACAGTAGGGAAGGCACTTGTCTTGCAGGCAGCAGATCCTGGTTCAATCCTAGAATCACATATGATCTCCCAAGTACCTCTTGCGTGTGGCACAAAAACAAAACAAAACAAAAAATGTAGCTCTGTTCATGTTCCTCCCCAGGCCAGGTGCATAATAAGGCAAGCACCTTATCTGCTGCACAATTTCTTCTGCCAAACATTTAATTATTTCTGTGGGTTGTGGGCCATACCCAGGGATGCACTGGACTATTCCTGCTATTCTTGGCTCTGCTCTAGAGAGACTCCTGGTGGTATAATACTGAAAAGCAAAGGTGGAGGACATTGGCAGCAGGGAAGCCTTACCCCTGTATAATCTGCACTGTCTTTTCAAAGAGCTCATGATTGAAGGAATAGTACAGCAGGTAGGGCCCTGCCTTTCATGTGGTTGAGTTGGATTCAGTCCCTGGCACCACATATGGTCCCCCAAGCTCTGCCAGGAGTAACCCGTAAGCACAGAGACAAGAATACGCCCTTAGTACATCCACCTATACGTGGCCCAAGACACCAAAAAAAAAAAAAAAAGGGGGGGGGTCCAAAAAGCTTCTACTATTTTTCAGATGAGAAGATGAAAAGGTCATGGCTCTGACTAGCATGAATTTTTTTTTGGGTGGAGTCATACCTGGCAATGCACAGGGGTTACTCCTGGCTCTGCACTCAGAAGTTGCTCCTGGCGGTGCTCAGGGGACTATATGGGATGCTGGGAATTGAATCCGGGTCGGCCACGTGCCAGGAAAATGCCCTACCCCCTGTGCTGTCTCTCCAGCTAGGACTAGCATACTTTCTGTGCATGGGTTTGGGGCAGGGAATGAGGCCTACACCCAGCAGTGCCGAGGGTTTACTTCTGACTCTGAGCTCATGGATCACTCCTGGTAGGGCTCAGGGGACTATATGGGATGCTGGGGATCAAAACCGGGTCAGCTACATGCAAGGGAGCACCATACCCACCGTACTATCCCTCTGGCCCCATGACTAGCATAGTTGTGTCTATCTCTACCACTTAAACCTAATGACGATGGAAAAATAAAGACCCTTTGACACAGATAGATATCACAAAGCTGTATGCTGAGTGAAGTAGGTAATGGGACCTCCACTTTCCCAGGCAGTCTGGATTCCCACTGCATTCAGGGTCACTCCTGGTGGAGCTTAGGACTGTATAAGATGCTGGGGATTGAACCCAATTTGACCAGGTAGTGCTCTGGCCCAGTCTAGATTCTTCAGTGAATGTTATCTTCTGATCCTAAAACAAAAATTGTCAGAGCAGAACTGAAAGTGGGCCCCTTGGTGTAAGGAAAAAGTCAGTGGATGAACAGATCTAGATTTTGTTGTTGTTGTTGGGGAGGGCATTATCGTCCTTATCTGTCCAAGACACATTTGGAAATAAAATAGGATGCTTCTGGAGATGCCAAAAGCGGGCAGCAGCCTTCCCAGGCACACACTAGGCGAGTCTCCCTGGCCTTCTCAGCAACCTCCCTCCTGGGTCCACTTTCGGGCATTGATGAAGAGCTGGAGCCAGGGAGAGGTGGTCAGAGTGTCGAACGGGGGCGGCCTCCAGGCCCACTGCCAAGGCCTCACAGCCCGCTCGGGGTGCGGCATGAGAGCCAGGTGGCGGCCGTCAGCAGAGCAGATGCCAGCCACACCCCCTGGGGATCCATTGGGATTCAAGGGGTATTGTTCCGTGGGATTCCCAGCATCATCCACCCAGTGCAGTGGAGCTAAGCCCTTGGCTTCAATCTGGGCTTGGAGTTCTGGAGAGGAGAAAGCCATGAAACCTAGGAAGGAAGAAGGAAAGTCAACAGAGTTCTTCCTGCTCTCTCCCCACCCCCACCCCCCAGCAGGTCCCTCCTGACCTTCCCCGTGTGCACTCCACACAGGCAGCACAGCGCCCTCCATTCCTCGAAGCATCAGGGCCGGGCCAGGTCCCACACGCACACTAGCCCAGCGAGACTCAAAACGCCCAGACAGGTTGTGGCGCAGCAGGAGACCTGGCTGGGCTGGCCAGGAGCTGTGCTCCACACCCCCCGTCTCGCCATGGGGGTCTCCTCCCACCCAGCCCAGCAATGCCAGCAGTTGACAGCCATTACACACGCCCAGGCTGAAAGTGTCTGGCCGTTTACGGAAGCGCCTCAACTCAGCCCCGGCTTTTGGATGAAAGATCACGGCAGCTGCCCACCCTAGGAGGAAACAGAAAAGCCGAGGGGAGACCTGAACTGAAGGGGCTCAGTTGCCGTGTAGTTCCAGTATATGATGTTAACACTATCCCAGGCAAACCCCCTCCCCTCCCTACCCCCTGCCACTATACATACACCTCAGCTCAGGGCAAAGAAGAGGGGAAAAATCTGTTTAAATCACAAGTCGCCCATTGCTTCATTGCTTCGTTAGAGATAGCCCGTAAGTTTGTTGTTGCTGTTTTGCTTTTTGGGTCACACCTAGTGATGCTCAGGTTTGATTCCCAGCATCCCATATGGCCCCCCGAGCACTGCCAGGAGTAATTCTTAAGTGCAGAGCCAGGAGTAAGCCCTGAGCAGTGTTGGGTATGGCCCCAAAACAAAACAAAAACTAGGCTGAGATATTATAGAGGTAAGGTGCTTGCCCTACATATAGCTGGCACAGGTTTGATACCTGGCACTATTGTGGCCCCCCAGGGAACACTAGAAGTGACCCATAAAACAAGGCAGGTGTCCACCAGGTCAGCGCAGCACTGCCTGCCCTGCCTCACCAAAGTTCCCTGAAAGCATGTTGGTATCTGGCCCCAGTGAAGATGCTTCCTCTCCCTGGGCCAATTCACTGTCAGGGAAGAGAGGAGCCATTACTTTTTCAGAAACGTGTCGGGGAAGGAATGGGCAGGAGCTTCCACACCTACCTTTGGCAGAGCCCAGGACATCTGCATAGCTGAAGCCACCCACGAAGGCCACACCGCGGAAGGTGTCCAGCCCAATGGCCCCAGAGCACAGGTCCTGCATGGTCACATCCCACACCTGGACCAGGACCAGGAAGGAAGTGTCAGAGTAACAAACACACGAGGCCCTGCCCCTGCCAGTAGCTCCACTCACCTCAAACCCTGCCAGGTGGAAAGCATCAGCCATCTCCCGGTCTCCATTACTGCCCTCTTCACGCAAGATGGCGACTCGGGGGGCAGGACCACCTGGGAGAAGAAGGAGCAGCCCTGTGCAAAACCACCTCTCCTAGGGCAGGGCCCACCCTCCAGTCTCAAAGAATTTTGGACATTAGGCCTCTACGCACTCCCTCACCAGGCTCGCGGGGCACAGAAGCCTTGGGAAAGTTGGGGGGCAGGTGGTAGGTGGGCCCCAGTCGCTCCCTCAGCCCCCGTTCTTCCTCTGCCACACAGTGCGGATCAGCCTGCAGGCGATCTAGCTGGAAACTCGTCTCCTCCCAGAGGGCTCGCAGCTGCCCCAGAGGCTCCTCCAGAACCCGAAGCCCATTCACAGACACCTGGACCTAGAGAGAGGGACACCTCCATCAGGGGCCAGAGGCAGGGTCCTTGCCTGGACCCCACGCAGAGGCCTGCTTCGGTGAAATACATCTTTCTGCTATTCAACGCTCTTTATTTCCTCACCATGGCGTGGGGCCCAGCGTCGCCGGTGTGGCCCAGTTTCAGGCAATGGAGGCCAGCATCCTGGTAACGCTTCAGCACCTGGGCCAGGGCTGGGTCCTGCACCTCCAGCACCAGGCCTGGTTCCTCAGCAAACAGTACAGGCAGTGCTAGAGAAGCAGTGAGAGAGTCAGGGCGACTAGGGTGCGTCCAGGACTTGGGGGTGAGACCAAGGTATGACAGAGAGAAGAGGGGGAATGGGGCTGGAGGATGAAATCAGGTAGATTAGGAACAAGGAACTGGCATCAGAACTTCTGTACGGAAGTCTTGGGCAGGAACAGTGGGTGCCACAGGCGTTCTTGGATGGGACCCAGCAGTTGGCGGGGTGGACACTATATATTTTGACATGATGTGGAGTGTACAGAGTAGAGCAGGCAGTTCAGGCATGTCCTCGACAGAAGCCTCCTCACCATCAACTCCAAAGGCAGGCACGTCCACCACTATCCCACAATTCCCAGCAAAGGCCATCTCGAGTAGGCAAGTGATGAGGCCCCCATCACTGACATCATGGCCTGAGCAGAGGAGACGGTCTTGAAAAAAAAAAAAAATGAAGAGATACCACAGGGGTTAAATGCTTGCCTTGCATCTATCCCACAGACAATGTCTCCTGAGCACTGCCAGGGTCCACTCCTGAGTACAGAGCCAGGAACAGCTCCTGAACACCAGTGGGTGTGACCCAAGCCTCACCCACACCCCCCAGGTATTAAATTGTTTGTGGGGGTCAAAGAAAACATATGGAAGTTAAGGTGCTTGTGTGGCATGTATCCAGTCCAGTCCTTAGCACCTCATGGTTCTCCAAGCATTGCCAGGAGTGACCCCAAGCACTGAGCCAAGAGTAACAGAGCTGTGTGTGGCTGAATACTCACTTCCATAGTTCAGAGGCTGAAGAGAAAGCTCAGAGGCACTTGTTTGTGCCACACTCAAACAGGGGTTACTCCTGGCTTTGTGCTCAGGGATCATTCTTGCCGGGCTTGGGGACCATATGGGGTCCCGGGGACCGAACCCAGGTTGAGAAGCACCCTACCATCTGTACTATTGCTCTGACCTCCAAAATGCTCAAAGGGCTGAGTGCAAGTTTCTAATGTTAAGAGGCTCCAGGGCCAGAGCAGGTAGAGCACCTGCCTTACACGTAGCCAATCTGGGTTTGATCCCGGGCACCCCTTATGATCCTGAGCCCACCAAGAATGATCCCTGAATGCAGTTTGAGCATTGCATAGTGTACCCCTCTCCCTGTCCACCGAATCAATTGCAGGAGGCCCACGTTTAATTCCCAGCACCAAATGGTTACTGCATGCACAGAGCTAGGAATAGCTCCTGAGCACACGCTGAGGGTAGCCCAAATCCCTCCTCAAATTATTCAGCAACTATGAGGCCCAAACCTAGTGCCCCTCACCAACTTCTGCAGGCAGTGGTGAGTGAGGCGGAGACTATGGCACCTGGACCCCCTGAGCAGGCCCGGCTCCCAGCTGCTCCCCACACGCCCCCTTTCCCCAGGACTCACTCACCTCGTAGCAACCCCTGGGTAACGTTGAAGGCTTGTACCAAGTTGTCTGGGAGGTCCAGGTTGGGAGGCTGCTCGCCAAGCTGGGAGAAGCACTGGGCCAGAGCTGTGCCCCCCAGCCGGTGCTGCCCAGGGCTCAGAGGTACATAGACCAGATGGCCTGGGGAAACAGGAAACGGATGTTTCTCAGAACTGTGTACCCAAATAATGAAACTTCTAGCAGTTCACATCATGCATCTCGTGTCAAGATAAGGGGACCCAGCACTTACAAAGCATTCCCCAAAGGTTAGACTCGGAACAATGCAGTGGGGAGTAGGGAGCCCATACCTCTCCCTCCTGGATGCTTGAGGTCCGGAGTAACAGTGGCAGTAATGTCTGGACAGACAGCATAGGCTGAGATGACCAGGGACCCTGGAGAACGAGAGAAGAGCGAGGATCTAACCAGCCCTACCGCTTCTTCCCCTCTACCCAGGGCCACCGGACCTCACCAGGAGCCTGTACAATCTCTGAGCCCACTCGGGCAGCCATGCTGAGGGAGTCCTTGCCACCATCCACTGCTACCCCAAGAGCTGCCATCAGTGCTACCATCGCCTCACAGGCGTCAGCCAGAGCCGCGCCCTCCCCGGGGAGCTTGGCTGCCCACATCCAGTTTCCGCTGCACTTTACATCCTGAATCAGGGCAGAGACTCGGCATTAGAGAAGAGATATGGAGAGTCTGAGTGAGGGCAGAGGGCCTAGGAGGCCCTGCACAGTGGGACTGGCAAAGTCCCAAAGCTGGGGGTCCAGGGCAGAAGCTGCAAGGCACTTACCCGGAGGTCAGTGACCAGAGCAAATACCAGGTTGGTGAGGGCTTCGGTCACAGCCAATCTAGCGGCGACCTTCGGGTCCAGCAAGCTCTTGATTGGTTGCTCTCCCAGAGCAGTGGCAGCCCCAACAGTGTCTTGGTGACTCAGGGCCACAACTGCCACGTCTGCCAGAGGAGTGTGCAAGGGGCCAACACACTGCTGCTGGGCCACCAGGCCACCTACAGAACGGTCCACCTGCAGCACCAGTCCAAGAACAGGGACATCAGGGCAGGTACAGAGGTCTGACTTGCCCCAAACATGTGAAGGGAAGTTGGAGCCAGTGAGGAGGTAGTAGGAGACCAACTATCAGTGTGGGTGCTCTGACACTGACACTCCTCCCTTGGGCATGGTGACACTCCCCCCCCCCCCCCCCCCCAGCATAACCCAGGGATGGAAGGGAAGAAACAATGAAGAAACAAAAGGGCACAGATAGCTGAGGAGTAGAGCAGGGTGCAGGGAGACCTTGTTGGTAAGGTAGCGCTTGCTGGCCACGGCAGGCAACCTAAGAACCCGCTCCAGCGCCTGGAGTACACTCAGCCCTGGGGGCAAGGCCAACTGCTGCAGCAAAGGAGGGTTCCTCTGGAGGAAGAATTCCTGAAACAAAAGGGCAAGGACGTGTGGGTATCTAGGGTGACTGGCATGCAGTGGCAAAGCCCAAGGATAAAGGGTGACCCGACCCGGACGGCTGGGTCAGAGAATGAAGAACCCCCCACCCCTAAAAGTGCGCGCGCGCGCGCGCACATACACACACACACACACACACACACACACACACACTCTCACACTCCCATACCTTCTGTGGCATCTTGCCCAGCACCCAATCCAGCTCCAGGTCTACGGGGGTGGGAGGGGGTGCCAGAGGGGCATCACCACTGCCATTACTTCCCACAGGACATTCCCGATCATCCACCAACACTATCTGTAGAACACATGGACACCACCCAGAGGGAAGGAGGCTGTGAACATCAGCAGGAAAGTATGGCAGAAATGCTCTGTATTCCGCTTCCGGGCCAGAGCAACAGTACAGCAGGAAGGGCATTTATCTTGCACATGGCCAACCCGGGTTCGATCCCCAGCATTCCATATGGTCCCCCAAGTACCACCAGGAGTGATTCCTGAGTGCAGTGCCACGAGTAACTCCTGAGCATTACCAGGTATGGCCCCAAAACAAAAAAACTCAAAAAACAAAAAGCTCTTTCGGACCCATCTGGCTTCCCCTAATGAGTCTCCCCTGCTTACTGCTTCCTTCATCCTGAGCCAGAGGCTCTTCCTCTCCTCACAACCTTTGACAGCTTTCCTCCCCCGTGTCAGCTACCCACTCCCTGGGCCAACTCACTCTCCTGTCTCCAGAGATGGTGCCCACAAAGCAAGCTGGGCAACGTTCCCGGGCGCTGACACAATTCAAGAAGTCCCGGTGGGGGGTCCTCAGCAGAAGGGCATTTGACTCCTGGTACTCAGCACCCCAGATTTCTAGGGCATTCAGGGTTGGGTCTCCCAGCTGCACATCCAAGAGGAAGAAGGAAAGAGAAGGATCAATGGGAAAGCATACCTCTAAAGCTCTGCCCTGAGCAGGAGAGTGGCTGGTGGGGCTGGTATAGGCAGGCAGATAGCCCAGGCTGGAGGCCCCACTTGGCAGGGGCCACAGAGACTGTGCTGGAGTTAAGACACTTCATCATAAGTTGCCCACCTCAGATACCACATATGGCCCCCTTGAGCACAGAGCCAGAAGTCCCCCCATGAGCACCACAGAGCATGAAATAATCACTCCAAAAATCACTCACCTGGAAGCGGCTGGTATAAATGACAGCTCCAGCCGGATCACTCAGCTCCTTCAGGACATTGCCTGGTGAGAAGGTTCAAAGAAAGGAGGTGACTGGCCACTGTAATTACTGAGCAAACAAAGGGCAATCCCCAGACACAAAGGCGTTTCTCTCCCCCCACAAAAACTGCTGCTGGACACTAGGGAGATGCCTCAAAAGGCTGGTATGAACCCTCTGTATACCAGAGGCCCAGGCTTGATCCCTAGCACTCCAGAGTTCCCTGAGCAGCCTCAGCGGTGGCTCCTGAATCTCACTGAGTACCAGCCCCAACAGAATCAAAACAAACAAATGGAAACTGCTGCTGACCCCTGTCGCCAGTCATCTCATGGAACAGGTGCGAGCCTCAACCAGAACATCGAGGGGCCCAGGGCTGAACAAATAGTAGCGGATCCTCTAGGCCTCTCCCCAAAATCAAACTTGGCAGGTGGGGCAGAGGCCCAAACCCTCGTCTTGTCCCAACCCCTTCTCCTTTCTCTCACCATTGCCCCCGGCACCCTGGTCATGGAGGCTGCAGATGGGGTTTCCTCCAGGAGCCTCCACACAAGCCCGAATCACACGGTTCATCTTCTGTTCCATCTCTGGGTCTCCTCGTTGCACAGCCCCAAAGTCCAGGTCGCTGGCATTGTCCCCCTGCACCTGGGGGAACAAATGGTCTAGTTCAGCACAGGGGGCTGGAGCTCCACCTCCCCCACTCCCACCCCCACCTGCCTCAAGCAGGGTGTCAACATCTGCATCTGCTGTTCTCACCTGCACAGATGAAGCAGCGCCACCACCAAGTCCAATCCTGTAGACGGGACCGCCAACCTTGACGACATCCATGCCTGTGAAGAGGGTAGGATCACAACACTGGAAATCCCGTCAAAGTATGAGGATAAAGGAAAGCTGATCATTAGTGGGGAGAACTAAAAATCAGAAATGTCCTTATTCTTGGAGTAAAGACGTTTGCAAGAATGTATCCTCCAGATTAATCAGATAGGCACCAAATTACTTATGCAAAAATTAGGTGGCAGCAGCATTTGTATTAACAAAGGAAGGAAATAATATAAATGTTAACAAGAGGTTCCTTATTGAATATATTGCAGTATACTCAGTGAAACACTAAGTCACCCCAAAAAGAATTACATATAAATTTAACAGCAACATAATTCCATCAGTATGCAATAATCCACAAGATACAATGCAATAATCTCCAAGATATATATAAATGCAAGATACAGATAAAAGCAAACCCAGGCCATAGTGATAGTACGGCAGGTACTATCTGCCGTATGCAGCCACCTGCCTTGCATGCAGCCAACTTGGGTCCGAACCTGGCCGCCCATTTGGTCCCCTGATCACAGCCAGGAGTAATTCCTGAGTGCAGACCCAGGAATAACCCTTGAACATTGCTAGGTATGACACTTCCCCCACCCCACCACCCAAAAAATGCCCAAATAAAAGCAAACCTATTAATAGTAACAGCAAGAAGAAAAAGGGATTTAGTATAGATACAGACTGAAAATTATAAAGCAGTTTAATAGACCTGCTCATAGACTAAAAGATTTAGTATGAATACTCATAGATATTATTATTACAATGGCAGTACTCCACAAATGACTGAGTCATAGTCCTTATCAGAATCTTAGTCACTGGGCTGGAGGGATAGCTCAAAGAACTTAGTGATGCTTTGCATGTGGGGAGGCCTGGGATTGAATCTCCTGAGCCAGGAATGACCTCCCAACCCCCACTACACCCTCCACACACAGAGTGTGAGCAGCAACCATGACAAATGGGATGGCGCAAATAACAAAATCATAAAAATAAGGGTATCAGTTGACTGTTTTGTTATTGTCTTGGGGGTCACACCAGTGATGCTCAGAGATCACTCCTGGCTTTGCACTAAGGAATCACTCCTGGCAAGCTTGGGGGAACCATACGGGATACTGGGGATCGAACCCTGGGCCAACCGCATGCAAGGTCAGCACCTTACCCACAATATTATCAGTCCAGCCCCTCAGGTCATCTGTTCTGCAGAAATCATCAGTTGAAGCCTAAGAATAGGAGGTAAGGCACTTGCCTTGCATGAAACCAGCCCCTCATGTGCTACGTGGATAATGAGGTGCATGGGGGTAGAACCCAGGCCTCCTCATGCAAAGTATACACTCAGTACATTGAGCTATCTCTCAGGTTCCAAATTGGTACTTATTTTTTGTTTGGGGACACACTTGATGCTTTTTAGGGCCTACTCCTGGCTCAGGGTTCACTTCTAAAGGGGCTGGGGGGCCATATGCAGTGCAGGAGATTGAACTCAGGTGTGTCATAGACAAGCATCCTATCTATTGAACTATCTCCGCAGCCATGTACATCTTAAAGGGTAAACTTTGTGATACATGAAGAGGGTATGGTGCCACCAGCAGGTCAACCTGTACCTGCAGAGAGAGTGCATCAGCAGTCTGATGGTGCCTTCAGGCTTCCTGATACCCCAAAATTGTCACTGTGCCTTTGGCCAGACCCCAATAACTTGGGACCAAGTATCCCAAGAAAATTAAATGGCCAAAGTTTAAGTATGTGGGAGCCACGCCCAGAAACCACCTCCAACTCAGCTTTACAAGCCCGTTTATTAAGCCTTATTTCAGAGAACCATAAATACATCTTGAAAGAGATCAAAAGCCGTAGTTAATCGTGCACCTGCGCATAGCTGAACAGAATGAGGTAAATTGCAGGGGGCGAGTTAGCCTGGAGCCCTCCCAAACAGAGCCCCCGACAGCCACTTGTTCCTACAATACAAAATCACCACATGCCCCTGGCTGAACTCTACTATCTGAGGACAGACCTCACCAAGATATTAAGGTAAAGGTAAAGGTAAAGGCCCTCCCATTGTTCATCAATTTGCTCGAGCGGGCCCAGTAACGTCTCCATTGGAGATTTTGTTACTGTGTTTGGCATATCGAATACATCACGGGTGGCTTGCCAGGCTCTGCCGTGTGGGCGAGATACTCTCGGTAGCTTGCCGGGCTCTCCGAGAGGGGCGGAGGAATCGAACTCGGGTTGGCCATGTTGGCTGCGTGCAAGGCAAATGCCCTACCGCTGTGCTATCGCTCCAGCCCGGTAGGGCGTTTGCCTTGCACGCAGCCAACATGGCCGACCAAGATATTAACCTGTAGAAAATTTGAGTATGTGGGTTTTGTGACTGAAATCTCCAGGCTTTCTCAGAGTTAGGATAAGCTACCTCTTCCCACTTCTCTATATTCTTAGAAGCCCGGCAGTCAGCCCCACAAACCAACCCCAGCATCACCATGTAAGCTCTTCTACCAGCCTTGCTTCAGAGACCCATATATAAATTTCAGAAAAGATCAATACCTGCAGTTAATCTTGGACCTGTCCATGGCTGAACAGACCACTGGAAGGGGGCAGGTCTGCCTGGTACTCACACAAACAGAGGCCCAGCAGCCGCTTGCTTCCACACTCTAAAATTGCCAACATGCCTCCGGCCTGACTCCATTATCTCCGGACAGACCTCACCAATACATAATCTGCTGAAAATTCTGGAATGCTGGTTTTGTGACTAAAATCTCCAGGCTTTCTTGGGGTCGGGATGGGCTATTCCCCCCACCTCCCTGTACTTCCAGAAGCCTCATCCACACCCCAAAGCTGCCACTCAGTTGAAAAAGCTACTCCAGCCTTACCGTCCAGATAAAAACACTCAATGCCCTGAACAAACACCATGACCTCCTAGTACCTGTACAGCAAACTATAATGCACAAAAGGAAAAAGAGAGAGAGTAAGAAGGAAAGTGCCTCCCATAGAGAGAGGCTGGGGGTGGGGGGTAGAATGTTGGGGGATAGTGGGAGAGAAACAGGGGACATTGGTGGTGGGAAATATACACTGGTAGAGGGATGGGTGCTGTATCATTGTATGATTGAAATCCAATTATGAACAGCTTTGTAATGGTAAAAAAAAAAACCCTTTATGATACATGAATTATATCTCAACATTGTTATTTTGAAAAAAGACAGGTTGGGGCTGGAAAGATAGTACAGCGGGTAAGGCGCTTGCCTTGCATGCAACCAATCTGGGTTCAATCCCTGGCATCCCATATGGTCCCCTGAGCACTGCCAAGAGTGATTCCTCAGGGCAGAGCCAGGAGTATCCCCTGATCATTGCCAGGTGAGGTCCAAAAACAAAAACCTGTACTAGGACAGGGCAGAGCACTTAACTTGCACATGGCCAACCCTGATTCAATTGTCAGCACCCCATATGGTCCTCCAAGCCTTGTAAGGATTAATCGCTGAGTACAAATCTGAGAGTAAGCTCTGAGCACAGATGGGTATGGCCCCTGCCCCCACCCTCACGTCATAAACAAAACCCTGTTATGGGGAAGAATATCTAAGTTGGGCAATTAAAGTATCCACTTAAATTCCCCTCCTGTAGCTGCAATGGGATGGGGAGAGGTGGCTTGATCTAGAGGAAGGCAGTTAGCTTTTACCTGACTCCGGGGGCTCCTTGCTCACGTGCTCAGCTTCCATGGATCCAATGCCCCCACTAAACATGATAGGTTTGATCCACTCACGCCGCTGTCCATCTGGGAGCAGGAGGCCCAAAGAGCGGGAGAAGCCTAGTGGATGGACATCCAAGGGAGAAGATGTGGTTACACGTATCTCCCATTTATGTGACTAAAGGAAATCCAAAATCCCTCAAATCACCCAGTCTCACCAGCCAGCACTGGTTCCCCAAACTTGTTGCCATAGTCAGAAGCTCCATTACTGGCCTCAATGGCTACCTCCAGGGGCCGGGCAAAATTCTCAGGATACACAAAACTGGGATCCTCCCAAGGCAGACTGTAACCTGAGGGAAGGAGAAAAATTGGATGGTATGTAAAGATAGTAAGTGGAGGAGCCAGTCCTTCAAGAAGAGTCAAAAATCACCAACAACTGCCAGCACAAGTGGATGGTTCCAATTCTGGAGGCAGACTGCTCCCCAACTCCCACTCCAGCCTTCCCTCTCTTGGTATCAGTTATCTTTTGTTATTATTTGTTTTGTTTGTCAGGGGGTCTCCAAGCCTACATCAGGTAGGGCTCAAAGACCAAGTAGTGACCAGGGCCGTGGCTCTGTCCTAGCCTGGGATAAAAGTCCTATTTTGTTTGTTCAGCTTTGGTTTTGTTTTCGGGCCACATGCACTGTGCTCAGGATTTACTTCTGGCTCTGTTCTCAGGGATCACTACTGGCACAGCCTGGGGAACCACATGGGGTACTAGGTATCAAATTCAGGTCCACTGCGCCCTACCCACTGTACAATCTCTCCAGCCCCTGGGAACAGCTTCTGAAGGCAATATATGCGATTGAATTTTGACAGTAGATGCTAGTTTATAAAGAAAATTGTGTGAGGCCAGAGAGATAGTACATCATGTTAAATTCTTATCTTGCATGCAGCCACCCTGTGTTAGATCCCCAACTGGTTCCCAGCCAAGCATGGCCAGGGATAGTCTTGAAGGCCCTTGAGCATGACCAGGGCTGCACAGGTAACCTCCAACACCACAGAACCCTCTCACTGAATCACTAGTAGTGCTGGCCAAGGATTGCTGCGAGAGGCCCTAGGCCTCCTGAGCACTATTTGGGAGGCCAAAAAGAAAAAACAACAAAAAAGAAAATAAAATTGCAGTTTGCAAAATCACCTGCAACAGGGTCTCCTATGGCCAACAACCTCCAGGGCCACTACTTTAGATCTCTCTCTCCCAAGAAAAGGTACCCAGTCTTTATCTTTGGCCTGGCAGATAAACGTATCTGGTGCCACCAGCACAAGGAAAATGGAAGGAGACAGTAGAAAGGAAAGAGATGGGACCTGGGATGTTCAGATTTCCAAAGCAATAGCCAGCAGTGCCAGCCACCACATGGGCCCCTCGGCCTGTGCACTGGACATCTCGGATCCGGCCGCCAGTGCCTGTGGTTGCACCACTGAAGGGAGATACTCCTGTGAAGAGAGGAAGAAGCGTTATGGACTCAGGGAGACACACACAGAAACAGAACACAGACACACAGACATACAGCGAACGATGCATCTCCTCTTGGGCTGGAGTGATAGCACAGCAGGTAGGGCATTTGCCTTGCATGCGGCTGATCTGGGTTCGATTCCCAGCATCCAATATGGTCCCCTGACCACTGCCAGGAATAATTCCTGAGTGCAGAGTCAGGAGTAACCCCTGTGAATTGCTGGGTGTGACCCAAAAAAGAAAAAAAAAAAAGATGCATCTTCTTTTTTGGAGGGGGGAAGGTATGTGTCTGGGCCAACTCCTAGCAGTGCAAGGGGGATGCTATGGGGTGCTGGGCATCAAACCAGGGTCAGCTGTGTACAAGGCAAGAGCCCTACTTTCTGTACTATCACTCTCTTGTGAGTGCATCTCTTGTGAGGCTCAATCTTTGCACCTGAGATGGAGTAGAGTACAGGGGTTAAGGCACTTGCCTTCCATGTTGCCAACCAAAGTCTGATTCCTGGAACCTAACCCTGTCCCTGAGCATTGCTTTGTCCCTTCCCCCATCATTTCATCCCAAGGGCCTTGGTCAAATTCACTGAGTTATCCCTCCCAGAACCAAGCTCACCTGTAGGAAAGTTGTGGGTCTCTGCTGTGAAGACAACGTGTCTTAAACCCTGTTGCTGCAGGAAGCAGCTTGGCCGTGTGGGGTCCCTGGGGCGCAGGAACTGAACTTTCTTCCCCTGGATTGCACTGTAAATACGTCCACTCTGAACCTCATTTCCATCCTGGAATCTGTGTTTACCCACAAGAGCCTCGGACTCTCAGACTTCCCACCCCCATGGAGGTCATCCAAGTCTAGGCACAGCCCACCTGCTGTTGTCACAGAACTTGAGGACATTGTTGGGATTGGAGGATGCTTGGGTGCTCATGATGGACTCAAACAGGGAATGGGCCAGCTCCTGCCCATCCACATGGAGTTTGCCCTTGAAGAACCAGTGTCGACTGTGCTCACTACAGAAGGTATTAGAGGAAGGAAGGCAGGGAAGAAATGGGGTCATTTCTCAGGCCTGGCCAGGTCTTCTTCCCAGCTCGAACAATAGAGTAATAGAGGTCAATATAAACCCCAAGAAGACATTATCATCAAACATTCTATTATTGTGGATTTCCCAGAAGAAAAGTGAAGAGAAAATCAAGACTTGACTGTGTACTGCGAGATAGGGACAATGGGGAGAAGTATAGCACAGGCCCTCAGTGACTTGGGGAGACTGCTAGGTCAGAGAGAGCCCAAAAAGCAGGTTCCCATGTTCTTCCCTTTTAGCTTCCAACCCTTGCACATCAGAATGTTCCCAGTCCACTCAACCTATTGGACTGAGCCAAGTCAAAGGCCTCCACGGTGCTAGGGTTCCTCTGCAGTTCCTGAAAGCGCTTGGTGTAGAAATCCAGGTCCCAAGGGTCTAGTGCTAGACCTAGGAGATAAACCCAAGAGCTAAACACAGAACTGAGAACACCGTATCCAGCACCCACTGAGCCTGGCTCAGGTCTTCCTCCCGGGGATTCCAGCTCACCCAGCTCCTGGTTGGCTCTCTCCAAGGCCAGCCGGCCCTCAGCCAGAATGTTAATGGGACCATTAAGAGGAGCAGGCTTGCTCCCCAGGGAGAAGCTCTGGATGGGGTGGTGGAAGTGCTGCTCTGTCATCCGGTCATGCAGAGTAGCCAGAGCAATGGCCTCCGCTTCAGGTGAAAGAGGGTGGGCAAACTAGGAGCAAAGACACACAACAGGTGAGGAACGGAGAAAATGGCCAACCTGCAGTCCTCATAAATCATGGGGGCAAGTCCACTCACTGCTAGTCTAAGCTGCACCTTTGCTCATATTAGTAAAAAGGAGCCCCTTCCAGGAATAAGATCAAGGCACATAAATTAGTAAGGGGAACAGAGACTGGATCCTGTCCCATTCACCCTTCACCGGGTATCTTTGCACAGTATACCCCTGCAAGCAGAGCAAGCTTAAGGCCAGGAGCTCCCTTCTCCTGCCTCTCCCATTGTTACCCTAGAGTTTAGGACCTAATCTCCTCTGTCTGGCCAACCTCCTCCTCCTCTTCCCCACCCACACCTTCTCACCGAGAGCAGGTAGCGCCGAGTAATCTCCACTCGATCCACAGCCCTTAGCCCAGCAGACCAGCACACTGACACAATATTGGTGGATGTTGGGGTGGAAAAGTTCAGCCTGAAGAGCAGACTGGATAGTTAGAATCTGAAAGATCAAGAGAAAATAAGCAGCAGCCCCACCCTTTGCTTCTCTCATATTTCTCTTTAGTTGGGTACCCACTGCTACCAGTCAACCTTCAACATCCCCACTAACTTCTAGTCTCGGCCTGAGCATTAATCCTGCTTTCAGAGTCAGAGAGATAATACAAAGGGCTGAAGAATACGCTTTGAACTGAGCCCAGGTTAATCCCCAGCACCTCATGGTCCCTGAGCACTGAGAAGTGTGACCCAAACACACACAAAAAGCAGCAGCAGCTTGCTTTCCACGTGAATGAGCAGGGATATAGACTAGGGGTATAGCGCTTGCCTTGCATGCATGGGTAAGGCCCTGGATTCAATCCCAGGGACCACCATCACCACCACCAAATAACAAAATAAATGAACAAACAAACAAAAACATCACTCCAATAAAACCATACCTGTCCTTCCAGAATTAAAATTTCTCATTTCAACACCTTAAAATGTAACCTTTCAGAGAGAATACGCCCAGGAAACTGGCTCAATCTTCAAAGACATCTTCCCGCAAGGAGAAGTCACGTACACGCTTTTACGGCAGGTATGAAGAAGAAATAAATCCCAAGGATCACCAGAGGAGGAAGAGAGGAATGAAGTGAAAGAGCAAGCAGTATTTGGAAGGAACGACAGGATCTAGACTATCCTGTATCCAGCTGCCCTGAGACACTTGCCTGGGTCCAACCTCCAGCAGCAGGTCACTAGAGGCAGGAAGGAGCCAGGACTCCTGGGCAACATCATCCAATAACAAGGGGCAGCCGAACAGCCAGGTCAGTTTCTTCAGCTCCTCATGGCTTGGGGGCATCTCAGCTGCAGAGAGAGCAAGAACCTACAGCACTGCCCTGGGACCGGCGGGCATTCCCCCAAGAATCCAGGGCCTGGACCGACCTGTCCAGTTCACATTGTAGCACAGCTCAGTCTTGACACCTTGCAGCTCTGGCAGTTTCCCTTGCAGCTTCCTTCGAGTGTGTCCGGAAGCTGCCCCCTCGTGGCCAGAGGGACGAACATAGAAGTGAAGGACTGTGGCCATCCTGACAGGTACCGCTCACTGGAGGAAGGAGTTCAGGTCCTAAAAAAATTAAATGCATAAAATTAACTGTAGTCTGTCCATTGAGCTGATTCAGACAGTTTAGTCTGAAGACCTTAAAATCTTAAAAATTTCCCCAGTGGGGAAAGAGATTAACTGGAAGATTCAGAGACAATGTAACCTGAAAAATGTATCCCGGGGGATTTTCATTCATCCTTCAAAATGTGGACCTTAGTAATGTGAGGTACATATCCATTGCCTGGACAACTGTTTCTTAAACACCCGTACTTTGTGGGGCTTGAGGGATGTACAGGGGTAAGGTGTGCCGGGCGTAAGCATGATCACCCAAGAACTAGCATATGAGCAACACCAGGTGTAGCCTAACCTCTTCCCCTCCAGCCCAGCCAACACATCTGTACTTCACAAGCAAGATCTTAGGAACACAACTGTGGAACAAGATAAAACCCTGTATGTCTTCACAAGACACATTTTATTAAGGTAAGTAGTCAGGCATTTACCATGTGCTCAAGACCAAGAGACTATACATAGAGTTCCTTTAGGGTTGTTCAGGCTTTCCTAGGAGAAATGGCATCCATATATGCCTGAAAGATGAGCGGATCTGACTAGTGGTGAGCTCAAGTCTACCTCAACACCCACTCCTGGGCTGGGGAGAGAGAAAGCGCAACAGCCTGGAGTGCACGTATTGTATGCAAACCATGGGATTAATCCCCAGCACTGCACAGTCCCCCAAGCACCTCTGGGAGTGACACCTGAGTATAGAGCCAGGAGTAGCTCCAAGCACTGCCAGGTATAGCCTCAAACCACAAATGAACAAAATTTATGTTAAGGCAAATCCAACGCCTACTAAGCCTGTGGCCATTCCAAGGCCTTCCATATCTATCCCCAAACAGGTCTCAAGCTTCTACTGCTCTCACAAGGACCCTGCCTTTACTCACCAAACCGTGCCCATTCTCCTCTCTGCTCTTTGCCCTCACCCTAGAATATTTACCGTTTTTTCTAGTCTACCCAAAGCTGCCCAGAGACACCTCCTTCTCCCCGAAGTACCTTGGCACAAGCAGGCCCACTAGCTGTGGGCCTCTGAGTTGCATCATTTATTCAACTCAATTGTTAACTATCTCCAGAGGGCTCAGATGCACACAGCATCTTGCCAAGGAAGCAGAAGGACAGGAAGCTCACTGTTTTGCCATCATCTGTTTTCCTTTGTTTTGTGGGGAGAGATGAGGGCAGACAGGCCTAGCAGTGCCGGGGGACCATACGATGCCAGGGATCAAACCCAGGCATTCTGTTCCCCAATACCCATCTCATTTTGCAGCGCCAGGAACTGAACCCAAGGCCTCACACAAGCAAGGCAAGAATTCAACCACCAAGCTACCATTCCCTGACCTCCATCCCATCCCGGTTTACTACCTCTTCTTCACTTGGACAACTCATAGCACCTTAAATCTGACTCAAAACTGAATGACTATTTTGTCATGTTCACTGAAGATTGCTAAACAGAAGTACCTTAAGTGTCCTTACATCAGCTTCTCTGCATCATCTGACTTCTTCCTTCTCTGCTTCTTGAAACACCCTCCTTTCTTGCCTTTAAACATCATACCATAAAAAAAATAAATAAAATAAACACCATACCATGCTGATGTTCTTTAACTTCTGGATGGTCCTTCTCCGTCACCTGTGTTAAGCCTCTCCTACTCTACTGCTGCCAAATATTCATTTGTTTTTGGCGGGACACAACCACCAGTGCACGGTGGCTACTCCCGACTCTCAGCTTGGAGTTGCTCATAGATCAGGGATCCAAGCTCAGGGATCAAATCTGGGTCTCACACACAAAGCATGCGCTCAACCTGTTAAGTTATTCCTCTGGCCCCTGCTTTGAAAGTCGGGGTGCCTGGAAGACACTGTTCTTAAATTTCTTCCTTCTACATTTTCTTTTTTATCGGTGCAGTGTGTGGTCAAACCCAGAAACCCACAGATGCGAGACAAGTACTCTATCACTAAGCTACATCTCCAGTCCCAGATCTGAAGCTTTAAATAATATTTAGTAAAATGAATCATGAAACCGCCAGCATGCAATTATTGGGGCAAAAAAAGGGCAATATCATATGACTCAAGTTACTAGCTGCCAACAGATTTCAAAATCTCTCCCTGAAACTCCACAAACTAGTACATTCGAAGGCTTACAGATCTCTACATAGATGTTTCATATACACAGATGATGCTTTATAATACCCAAACAGAAGTTTTCATTTGTTTTTCTACATCTGCTTTTGCCCAATCTTCCCCATCATGAGAAATATTACCATCCTATATATATTACCAGTTGCTCAAGCCCAAACACAGGTGTCAACCTTTATTTCCAAGAACTCTCTATATCCAATTTAATCAACAAATCTATTTCCAAACATATCCCAAATCTGTCCAAGTTCTTTCACATCTTATCCATCATTCTAATTCAAGATATCACCATCACACCTTTTTGGGCCACACCCAGCAGTGCTCAGAGGTTACTTGTCTCTGCACTAAGAAATCATTCCTGGTGGGCTAGGTGGGGACCATATGCAATGCTGGGGATTGAACCAGGTGGGCAGCATGCATGGCAAGTGCCTTACTCTCTGTACTATCACTCTAGCTTCACCATCAAGCCTAATTAGTACCTGATTCTAGCATGAACCATAACCTATTTGCCACATGTCAGCATACATGAGATCATGGCGATATAACTTTTCACCCCCTGGTTTACCTGGTCTACCTAGCTTTCCAATCCTATCACACCACTCTCCACTCTTTCCTCTTCACCTTCAATGCTCCAGTTTTCTTTTTTCTTTTCTTTTCTTTTTTTTTTCTTTTTGGGTCACACCCAACAATGCAGAGTGGTTACTCCTGGCTCGTGCACTCGGGAATTACTCCTGGTGGTGCTGGGGGGTGGGGGGGGACCATATGCCATATGAGATGCTGGGAATCGAACCCGGCTTGGCTGCGTGCAAATGCTCTACCGGCTGTGCTCTCGCTCCAGCCCCAGTTCAATTTTTCTATTCCTCTAAATTTGCAAAGTTCAGAAGGCAATTTTTCCCATCTCACAATTTGCACGGCTAGCTTCTCCCTGTTACTTAGACTTCAATTTAACTAAAGATGCAATTCACGTTTCCGGAAAGTACTTTCCGGATTGGAGCGATAGCACAGCGGGTAGGGCGTCTGCCTTACAAGCGGCCAACATGGCCGACCCGAGTTCGATTCCTCCGCCCCTCTCGGAGAGCCTGGCAAGCTACCGAGAGTATTTGATATGCTAGACACAGTAACAACAAAGTCTCCAATGGAGACGTTACTGGGCCTGCTCGAGCAAATCGACGATCAACGGGAGGGCCTTTACCTTTTACCTTTACTTTCCGGATTAACAACTCTGAAGTAATCACTATTTTTTTTAATTGAGCAGATTTTATTTTATTATTTAGAATATGTACATTAACTTCAGAATAGGGAGTAATTTTAGCTATTATTCCTTTCTTTGTAAATTGAGTGCCTACTATATTGCTCTGTTGCTATATTCTTTTTTTTGTAATTTTATTGAATTACTCACTATTTTAATTTTAAACTTCTTACACAGTATTCGTTATCTTAACTTTATTTTTATTTCTACCTTCCCCTTTAGAACAAAATCTACACGTGGGTAAGAACTTTGCTGTTTTTAATCTATACTGAATTATACAGAATACTTGAGACTTGAAACAAATAAGGCAGGAGTTATGCCCAGCACCTCAAAGAAAAAAATAAAATCTAGGGCCATGGTCGGGGAGGTGGCTCATAGAGCACGTGCGGTGCATGTGTGAAACTGTGGATTTGATTAAGCAGCTGGGCGTACTGGGAGCCAACAAGAGTTAAAGCCTCGGTTTTGCCCCCCAAAACACAACAAAACTGGTTTGTGTCCCCCAAACACAAATTTCATAAACCAAAACATGTCGTCGAAATGAATAATTTTTGTTTGGGGCCACACTCAACTACGCTCACAGTTTACTCCTGGCTCTGCGATCATGGACCACTCCTGGCTGGCTGGTAGCCGGCTGCGTGCAGACGGGCGCCTGACCAGCAGCAAATCCCTCCTGGCCCCGAGTGAGTCCTGACTTCGGCCGCACATCAGAATTTGCCACCTCGCCCACCCATAGCACGCAAGGCCTCACCTCAATGAAGGTACTTCTGACAGAAGAATCTAGACTCCTCTTAGCGCTCCCCTCTCCCCCCTGTATCCCCACTCTCCCGTATCCTTCCGATGTCGAACCCCCTCACGTTGCTCCTCATAACATACATTTTTTTCCCACAGATTTGATCACATTTAAAGCTCTTGATTTTCGTCTTTCGTTTGTCAGTAAAATCGAAGCTTGAAGTGAACAGGGGCAAGGTTATGTCTGAACTCTTTTTCATTTTTCATTTCATCATCCTGTTATTCGTCGATTGGCTCGAGCAGGCCCCAGTAACGCCTCTTTCATCCTAGCCCTGAGATTATATTCACGGCTCTTTAGGAGAACGAGACCCATCATTGTTACTGGTATTTGGCATATTTGGTACGCCATGGGGAGTTTGCCAGACTCTGCCCTGTGGGCAGGCTACATTCGATAGCCTGCAAGTTTGTCCAAAGTAGGAATGAGACAATAAGATGTCATAAAAAAAAACTATTCCCAACGATTAGTACGGGATCTTGCTAAAGCAAGAGGTCGAGGTATCATTTTTGCTGGTTAAATACATGAATTTGAAAAGAGCGGTCAAGTTCCAAGGAACCCACAGCTCCCGGGCTTCCCACGCAACCAGAAATGACGCCTAGTGGAGATAGTAGAGAGGTCGGGAAAGGGTCTTGGATGAGAAGCGAAAGGGTGCAGAAGGAAAGAAAATCCCGACTCGCGAGCTGACTCACGTGTTAGCAACTCCCGACTTCGCGCTTCCTCGAATGGTGGCGCGCAGGTACGTCATCGACGCGCGCCGCGAGCATGGGCGGGACTGCGGGTGCCCCGCCCCTTCGCGCCGCCGTGCTGCTGGGCCTTCAAATCTCGCAGAACTCGAATCCCCCACCTCCCTCCCCTTTCGCGCATTGTGGTGGGAGTGAGAGAGAAAGAAAAAAATGAAAATACCTCGTTGTGTTACAGTGCATGACTTGTCATTCAGTAAGAAATAGAGTGCATCAATTCACGTTTTTAAAACTGAATTTGAATTAAAGGATAATATAACTTGCAGAATTAAAATATTTATTTTTGGAGGGAGGTTTACCCAGCAATACTCAAGAGCTGCTCCTGACTCTGTGCTCAGGGGTTACTTCTGACAGTGCTCAGGGAATCATATGCAGTGCCTGGGATTCAACTGACATTGGCTGCATGTGAGGCAATTGCCTTAACCTCTGCACTATCTCTATAGTCCACAGGATTTTTGTTTAGTTTTGTTTTGTAGTATTTTGCTGTTAAATGACTGTAGCATTTTTATTGTTTACAGTGTTTTCTATTTACCATATTATAACATAATGCTTAGCACTGATTGGGTGCTATTCTCAGTTCTGTGCTCAGGGATCATTCCTGGCAATGCTCTAAGGATCATGCGGTGCCAGAGATTGAATCTGGGTCTTCAGTACGCAAAATATGTGCTCAGCCCATTGCGCTACCTCTGCCCTCCTGGCTGTTGCAAAGGCAAGCGCCCACTGTTACTATCACTCTGACCACTTAAACCTCCTTTAAACAAACAAGGACCTGAGCTATAGTACAGGGGTAGGGTACTAGCCTTGAACAAGGTTCAATCGACAGCTCTCCAGGGGCCAGAGTAATAATACATGGGGTAGGGTGCTACCCATGTACACTGCTAACCCTGATTTGATCAATGACGCCCATTATGGCCTCCTGAAGACCACCAGGAGTGATACCTTAGCACAGGGCCAGTAGTAAGTATTGTGTACCACCTGGTGTGGCCCAGTAACAGAAACATTTATTTTTTATTAAAAAACATTTATTTTTTATTAAAAAGGGGAGCTGGAACTATAGCACAGCAGGTAGGGTGTTTGCCTTACATGTGGCCAACCCAGGTTCGATTCCCAGCATCCCATATGGTCCCCCTGAGCACCTCCAGGAGTAATTCCTGAGTGCAAAGCCAGGAGTAACCCCTAAGCATTGCTGGGTGTGACCAAAAAAAGCAAAAACAAACAAACAAAAAACAAGTGAAGAGGCTGGAGTGAGAGCACAGTAGGTAGGGTATTTGCTTTGCACGTGGCCAATCTGGGTTTGATTCCAGCATCCCATATGGTATCCTGAGCACTGCCAAGAGTAATTGCTGAGTGCAGAGCCAGAAATAACCCCTGAGCATTGCCAGGTGTGGTCCAAAAAGGAAAAAAAAGTGAATAGGACAGGGCAGGCTTTTTTTTTTTAATTAAAAAATGTAAATAGGACTTCAGCTCAAAGGGCTTAAGAGTCTGTATGTTGGAGGACCAGGTCCAGTCCTCCTGAGCAACACTGTATGTAGCCTAAAGAGGAAAAAAATATATATATAATATATATTAAAGCTCCTTCTTGGGGCCAAAGATATATACAGATAAGGCTCGCACATCGTGGATCCATGGTAGATCCAAGTTCATGGTGCTAATGGTGGTGGAATAAACCAGGGTTCAGCGCATGAAAGGTAAAAGCCTTCCTTAACTCTCTGGACCAGGGAGCAGGAATTTTTTTATTTTTTGGACAACACCTGGCTGTGCTCAAGACTTACTCCTGGCTCTGTGCTCAAGAGTCACTCCTAGCAGTGCTAGGAGGGGGACCATATTGTGGTGCCAGGAATCGAGCCCAGGTCAACCTCATTCAAGGCAAGCACCCTACCTGCTGTAGGGGGGCGGACTTTGGGCACACCTTGTGGTACTCAGAGACTCAGAGGTTATTTTTGGCTCTGCTCTATTCCCAGGGGTGCTGGTGGGATGCTGAAGATCTAAACGCTCTACCCGCTGTAATATCACTCTGGCCCCAGGGATTTTTAATCTTTGCTCACTGCTGTCTCCCCAGAGTCTAGAACTGAACCCAGCACATAGTTCCATGAACCCCTTCACTCCACTGCAGGGGTTCACTCCACTGATTGAGTTAGGGAGTGCAGAGGCTATCGTCCAGGCGGGCTGTGCTCGAGTTCCTTAGGATCAGTGACAGGGTTTGAAGACCAAGAAGTGGGCGGGGCAGGGGCGGGGCCGAGAGCGCGGAAGGCTCGGGGCGTTGCCCGGCGGGAGGAGGCGGGCTCGCGCCAGCGGTGACGTCACCCGGAAACCCTGGCGTGCTCTCGCGCTCGCTCGGCTGTTCGCTGCCAGAGGCGCGACCGCGGGCGCGCCATGGCTGCTTGCCCGCCTCAGGCTGTTGACTCTGTGAGTGCTGTCTCCGAATCTCGTTTCTTTTCCTCTTTTCTGTCAGGATGGCCTTTCTTCTCCCGAACTCTCTTGCGTACTTACTTCCCGATCTTGCCTGCCGCGCCTGGACGGCACCGCGACTGTTGATCCTCCTGGACGCCGCCGCGACTGTTGATCCTCCCGCTGGTCCGGGGTTCCGCGCTGCCCGCTAGGAACCTTAAACGCTTCTCGTCTTGGGTCTTCAAGCCCTTCGGGAAAATTGAGGCCGTTTCCGGCGGCTCTGGGTCATTGAAGAAAAAACCCTGCGCTGCTGTAGGGAAAAGGGTTGACTGATCATCCTGTAAAGCGTCTGAGAACTTTCGAGTTAGCGAGGCGAAGCGAGCTTGAAAGGTTTCACAGCCGCGCTGGAGAGCGGGTTCGGGTGGGTGGTGGCCGAGGGTCAGATGGACTTGGGCGTCTTGCCTAGCAGCGGCTTTGGCCCGAGAATACTGGGGATTGTGGGAAGGATTTCCGCAGCCGAGCGACTGATGCGTTTTCGTTTCCCGGTAACGGCGGGATGGCGCGGGAGCTTGGCAGCAGGCGGAGGGGCGAGGCAGCGAGTGGCGACCCCGACCAGACCAGAGCAGCCGTGTTGAAGTTCAGAGGTGGAGGCGGTTAAAAACCGACGAAAATGGAACGTAAGGCCACGTTCTATATAGGACTTACTGGGCAGATGTGGTGTCTGTGGAGTGTTTGTCAGAGGTTTTAGCTAGAGATTTAAGAAGACTCATCTGAGGATGGCGAGGGAAGATACGCAGTGGATAAGGTCGTTGGGAGGGAAATGGGGAGTGTTCTCAAACGTGATCCAGTGTCAGTGTTAGTCTGAGGAGCTCATTTGAAATGCAGAGGGTTTTTTTCTGGACCCCTCTCTATCTGTAAAACAACAGATTCCTGTGTCTCCCACTTCCAAGATTTTGAGTCAATAGAGGAGATCCATGAATTTGCTTTTGTTTTTGTTATTGTCCTACACCTGGCTGTGCTTCGGGTTTACTCCTGTCTCTGTGCTCAGGAAGAGGCTCAGGAGACTTTGTGCAAGGCCAGTGATCTCCAGCTCTGCTATGGCTCTGGCCCCTGAATTTGCATTTTAAACAAAACTTTGGCGGTGATTCTGCAATAGTATTACCACTCCCAAAACAGTTTATTCGGTGTTTTTTTTTTTTTTAATTTTAGTAAGTGGTGGGTAGTTTCTCAGAAAAATTGGAGCTGGAAAAGAAGACAGAGAGGAAACAAGCATGAGATGAGAGTTTGGACTTTTGAGTAGGTTGGTAGTGCAATTTTTGTCTGAGGAGCTGGTCCAGTTTTGATATGAGCATGTTTTGGCTGAAGTGGAGTGAAGGTGAAAGTGTCGATGGGTAGGGCCCATCTCCAAGGGTAAGAGTGCTCTTTAGAGGAATAGGGATTGAACTGTACCAGTTTAACATTATTTTGGGAATCAAGAAAGATAAAAGCCAAGGGGCTGGAGAGATAGTAATCGGAGAAGGCTTGCACAAGCCCCATTCAGGTTCAATACCCAGCACCCCATCTTGTCCACCAAGAGTAATTCCTGAGTGCAGAGCCAGGAGTAACCCCTGAGCATCACTGGGTGTGACCCAAAAACTTAAAAAAAAAAAAAGATATAAAGCCTTACCTCTAAAAACTCTACCTATTGGACTCTGTCAAAGCGTTAAAGCAACCTAGCATTTGGGAGTAGACCAGCTGTTCTCAGTCCCTAGGATTAGAGATTTCCAACCATATCTCAGTTCTGGAAGTAGCTCCCAGATCCTCCAGCTGTGGCCAAAAAAAAACATTTTTTTAGGGTTTTTTTTTTTTTATCGCTGGAGCGATAGCACAGTGGTAGGGCGTTCGCCTTACAAGCGGCCAACATGGCCGACCCGAGTTCGATTCCTCCGCCCCTCTCGGAGAGCCCTGCAAGCTACTGAGAGTATCTCGCCCGCATGGCAGGGCCTGGCAAGCTCCCCGTGACGTATTCGATATGCCAGACACAGTAACAACAAAGTCTCCAATGGAGACGTTACTGGGCCCGCTCGAGCAAATCCACGATCAACAGGGAGGACCTTTACCTTTTTTTTAAGAAATACATTTTACCAATGTCCTTTTTGTGTCATTTACTGATCTTTTCAGACACATTTATATGTATACATTATTATACAATATTATGTCCAATTTTTGTTGTTACTTTGTTTGGGGGCCACACCCAGCTACCTTCAAGCCTTACTCCTAACTCAGTGTTTAGAGATCACTATTGGCAGTGCTTGGGAGACCATATATGGTGCTGGAAATTGAACTTGGATTGACTGTGTGCAAGGCAAGCAGCTTAACCTTCTCTCTGTGACACTATGTCCATTTTGTTTTGTTTTCTTTTGTTTTGTTTTGGGGGCATTTCTGGTGTTGCTCAGTGCTTACTCCTCTGTTCTCAGGTATTACTCCTAGCATTGCTTGGGACTATATGGATTTGAACAGGGTCATTTGCATGCAAAGCAAACACCTTACCCCCTATATACTTTATCCTCTCTGGTCCCTTTTGTCCAGGTGTTTTTTTGTTTGTTTTTTGTTTTGTTTTGTTTTTGCTTCAGGCCACACCTGCTCTGTACTCAGGAATTAATTCTGGTAGTGCTCAGGGTACCAAGTGGATGCCCAAGATTGAACTTGGGTAGCTGCATGCAAGGCAAACACCATATCCACTGTACTCTCTCTCTCTCGCCCCCTGTATGTCCAATTTTTAATGAGTAATTAAAAAGAATTTTCAAGTGTGATTTTGGCTTTTGTTTTGTTTCATTTTTGATAGGAAGAGTTTGGTTAGGGCAAGATGCTAGGGGACCATATTTGGTGCTGGAGATTGAAGTGGATTGAACAAGGATTGGCAAAGCAAACACCTTAACCTCTATGTTAGATAACATTGGGTTGTCCTTGCTCCTCCCTCAGGGAGTTTAGGTTTACTGAGTTACTCCTACAACAGTGCTTCTGAGAAACACCTAATTCCATCAAGCACTAATAATCCTATATTGCTTTTCTCTTTCCTTTATGTCACTTGCATTTTGTCCTTTTTTTTGGGGGGGGGGTTACACCCAGCGATGCTCAGGGGTTACTCCTTGTTCTGCACTCAGGAATTACTCCTGGCAGTACTTGGGGGACCATATGGGATGCTGGGGATTGAACTTGGGTCATCCACGTACAAGGCAAATGCCCTATCTGCTGTATTACCACTCCGGCCCAGCAATGGCCTTTTTTGTATAGATACAGGAAGACAGTTGATTCTATGCTTTTGTAACATGGGAGTTAATTGACTCCAAATAATGTTTATTCCTGGGCATCCATCATATTTACTTGACTTAATTCTCAGTTGCCTTTACTTCCTAACACCCCCAAAAGGAGGGTCCCAGCACCATAAGTATAAGTTAAGAGCACGGTCATGGAACAAACTCTGTCATGACCCAAAAAGAAGTATCTGAATGAGGACCCTGCTGGGGTTAGGAAAGACTAGCCTGGCTGAGGACTGTGGTCTGGGATATATAGCAAGATATCCCCAGGAAGAGCCAACCTTTAAGCTTAATATACCTCTCACTGTGTTTATACAAAATGACTAGAAATATTAGTAAGAAGTAAGTTTATCATGATTGTTTAAATGGTTCACTAGCTGAGGAAAGGAGAAAGCAATATACCCTAGATGGAATCCCGCCCTTGTGTGGATCTCCTAGTAATCTAGGGTGCTGAACTCTCAGATATCTTGTCTTTGAGTTAATCTCCTAGAACTTCCCCTGAAGGAGTGGGTTACATCTGTTTGTTGTTATGAAAATGTTTAACCCCACCTATGTGTACCCCCACCCTTCATGATTTCTATATAACTATGCTGTAAGGGGAAAGAGGGGAGTATGAGAGCTATGAGGAGACTAGGATGATGGGAATGACGAAGACTATGATGACAATGAGGACTAAGATTATGGAACTATGATGACTGGGACTACTATGAAAACTACGACTACAGTTGTCCTGTAAGGGAGGGATTGAACTACCTTGAGAGGAGAGAGAAATAAACTGAATACCAACAAGCTTGGGGCCCCGTCCCTTTTTTCTCCATTCCCCCGGTCCTTGGTCTGTCCATTGCCGCCGGCCAGCCAGGGGAATAGTTCTCAGCCATCAAACACTCGAATCCCACGTGTCCACACTTTTTCCTTGAAACTCACACATTTGTAGTGTCTCTCCAACCCAGATTTTCAATTTGCTGCTTTGGAATAAGACCCCGCCTTCCCCGCACACACATACATAAAATGGGAGACCACTGAACCTGGTGATCATTGCTCATATTGGAAGTATTGGCAGTGCGCTGTGAGAATTCCAGGAGGTACTGCTTTCTCCCTGGGCTAGTCAGAGAAGGGTTCACAGAGAAATACTGTATTAATTCCAGTTGAGCACTTTAAGGCTTGTAAGACAAGTGCTAGATGGCCAGCTGCCTAAAGTATTTGTATTGCTGGACTGAGACATAAGGTTTCTTCAATTTTGTGTTTTTCCCCCCTTCATTTCCTTTTGATTTTTTTTTCTTTCTTCCCTTCCCTTTGTGGTTGTTGTCATTGTGTTTTCTGGGTTTGCACACTTGGCTGTGATGGGTCAGAGATAGCACACACACATTTGTCCTGTTGTAGATTCCATTTGATAATGGGAGGTGACTCACAGCCTCAAGCCTGTACTGCAGGCCCTCTACCACAGAGCCACATTTCTGGCCCCATGCCTTTCTTGACTTTTTTTTTTTTTCTATTTCTTTATTCTTTCACCTGTTTCCTCAGTAGGAGGGATTCTTATGAAGGTTTTTGTTTATTTGTTTTGTTTTTATTTTGTTTTGCAGAAATTCTGGCAGGTTTACTTCTGGCTCTGTAGTCTAGGATCCCCCTTGTATGCATTGCAGGGGATCCGATCTCAATCTATATAGCATGTGGTACCAGCTCTCTGACCCTGGTCATGCAGACATTTTAACTAGATTCACTTTCTCTAGGAGCAAGTCTGGCTTGAGGCTGCCCAGGCATTCATCCACAAGACCCTGTGCCCAGCCGGTGAGGAACCTAATGTCCAATTGACTCAGTCAGTAATAGAATGTGTGAAGACTCTCTGGTTGCCCCAGGGAAGGAGCCAGGGCTTGACATTGCCCCTCAGCTACAGGTAAAGAGGGGTGAAGTTACAGTTGGGATTATTTGGGTGGGGGAGGAGGCAGGGGCTGGGGTCTTCCCATTCTTCACCATGCTGCCTTTCCTCTCCTCTGTAGTTCTCTTAAATGATTTAGATCAAGTTTAGAGAAAAGGAGAGGAAAAGAGAAGGAGAAGAGAAGATAGGTAATTTGGAAAAACTCAGAATAGGGAGAGACTGAGATATTTCGTTGATTTGGTATATCAGAAAACTAAGAGAGGGAAGGCTTCACCAAGTGCAGATGAATTTAAGAGCATTTGAATCTTTCTTGAGCTCTCTTATTCTCATTGTTTTTCTTTTAATTTATTTTTAAATCTATTTTCTTTTTTCTTAGTGAATCAAAATAGTTTATTTGTTTGTTTGTTTGTTTGGTTTTTTTTTTTTTTTTTTTTTTGCTTTTTGGTCATACCCAGAGATGCTCAGGGGTTATTCCTGGCTCTGCATTCAGGAATTATTCCTGGCGATGCTTGGGGGACCATATGGGATGCTGGGGATTGAACCCAGGTCGATCGCGTGCAAGGCAAACGCCCTACCCGCTGTGCTATCACTCCGGCCCCGAATCAAAATAGTTTTTATTGAATAAAACTTACTTAGAAAGATGAGAGGAGAGAGAAGTGTTCGAGAGAGAACATTCTCTAGAGTGGAAAAAGCAAGCAAAGAAACATAAACTAGCAAGTGAGATACATGTTCAAAGGAGAAAACAGACTTGAAGAGCAAACCTCTCCTCATATTTCTTTTTTTTTTTTTTAATTTTTGCTTTTTGGGTCACACCCAGTGATGCTCAGGGGTGACTCCTGGCTCTGCACTCAGAAATTACTCCTGGCGGTGCTTGAGGGACCATATATGGTGTTGGGGATCGATCGCTCTACCTGCTGTACTATCACTCTGGCCCCTCATATTTCTTGAAATAAAATTATTTTACTTCACTAAATAATCCTACTCGGATTGGAGTCGAGCATCCTTCACCCAGATCCTCCAAATTCCAGTAGGCGGGGGTCACACCCACCAACAGGCCCCCTGGCGCCGTGTAATCCCATCAGCGGCCAAGACTCAGAGACTATAAAAACCAGCTCCCGGAGGGAGAATAGTGCAGTCTCCTGCCCCCGCGCCTGGCTATTTCTCGCCGGGGCCCCTTGGAGGGGAGCGGGTTGAGCTTTCCTCCCCACCCTGACCAGGGCCCCGAGAGCCGAAGACCTCCAGGACCAGCCACCACCATGCTGAGATCACTCCCCGCACACCTAAAGGTACCGGCAGAGGGACAAAGCCACATGGGTTCCGGGGCTGAGATCTCCAAGCCTACTCGGATTCGCGGCCGCGCGACATCTTATTATGACATCTCATTCCTACTTTGACAAACGGGCAGGCTACCGAATGTAGCCTGCCCACACGGCAGATCTGGCAAACTCCCCGTGGCATACCCAATATGCCAAATACCAGTAACAATGATGGGTCTCATTCTCCTAAAGAGCCTTGAATATAATCTCAGGGCTAGGATGAAGGAGACGTTACTGGGACCTGCTCGAGGCAATTGACGAATAACAGGATGATCTGTGATCTGTGATCACTAAATAAGAAAGAGCACTTAATTGAATTCAAGGTCTCCTGAAAGTGTTCTTCCCCCCTCCCCCCCCAAGAAAACCACTCCCATTTTACTAATTTTACCATTCCCTAAACTGTTCTAGGCAATTAATGAGTACCACAAAAAGGGTTCTATGGGTTGTAGAGTTAGCACAGGGAACTGTGCTTGCCTTGCATCTAGCTAACTCCCATTCAATCCCCTATACCCCATGTGGTCCCCTGAAAACTGCTAAGAGTGGTTCCTGAATGCAGAGCCGGCAGGCGGAGTGATAGTACAGTAGGTAGGGCATTTGCAATTTGCTTTGCACGCAAGTGACCTGTGTTTGATCCCTGGCATCCCATTTCCCCCCCACCCCCACCCTCCCAACCTGCCAGGAGTGATCTCTGAGTACTGACAGATGTGGCTCAAAACACAAACACAAGCAACAGCAAAAAGATTGAATGCAGAGCTAGGATTTACTCCTGAGCACTGCTGGATATCTGTCTCCCCACCACCAAAAAAAGGGGGGGAGGATTCTACGGTAATTTTGAGAGACATATTTGGCAATCTTCTCTAGGGACATCAAGAGGCTCATTTCTATAGGATCTGAAAAAAACTGCAATAAGAAGGCTTCATCATCATAGAAGTATCACTGCACATGGCCTCTCCCCCTTATACATTATATAAATATACCATATTTTATAGTTCCTTGGCTGTTTGTTGTTGTTGTTTGCTACACCCGGTGATGCTCAGGAATTACTTCTGGTTCTGCACTCAGAAATCATTCTGGGGCTCAGGGGATCATATGGGTTGCTGGGATTGAACCTGCAAGGCAGGCATGCTGTGCTATCTGTCCTGCCCCCTTGACTGTTTTTTCTCCTGGCCTTGCATCGGCTAATTGTTTTTGTGTGGTTAATAGGTATAATAGGTTAATAGGCTCCCTTCTCAATCTAGCCTCTTTCTTGTCTACATTCTCTCTTGAGCATGTGTTATTTTCTCACCCTTTTAATAAAATTTCCTTATTTAAAAAAAATGTTTCTGAGACAGTATTAATAGTTCTGACTCATTTATTTTAACTGTTCTATTATAATCTGTTACGTGAATATACATATGATATGATTGGGGCTTTATTTTTGGGCTTTGGGCCAAATCCAGCTGTGCTCAGGTCCTACTCCTGGCTCTGCACTCAGGAATCACTCCTAGTGAATTGATTCCACTATATGATGTGCCTGAGGTTGAAGCCTGGTCAGCTGCATGCAAGATCCCTCACTCTGACCCCAAGGTTCTCTTTTTATTTATTTTTGAGCCATACCTGGTAGTGCTCAGGGTCTACTTCTAACCTTGTGTGTGCTCAGGGATCACTCTGGACCATATAAGGTGCTAGGGGTTGAACTTGGGTCAACTTCATACAAGGCAAGTACCCCATGTGCAGTGCTATTTCTCCAGCTCCTCCCTATTTTTATACTGCTCTTCATTGGAGTTGTACCAGTTGACATCATAGTAACATACATCTGTATCCTGGCAGTCTTACAAGTCTATTTACCTTCATAACAAAAATTATATTTTGTTTTTGCTATTTGAAAGGTATTAAACGATATTTTAATTTCAAAGTAGCTTCTGAGGGCACTTTTGCTGAGGATTTTTTTTTGGGGGGTCACACTTGGCGATGCACAGGGGTTACTCCTTGCTCTTCACTCAGGAATTACTCCTGGCAGTGCTTGGGGGACCATATGGGACACTGGGAATCAAACTCGGGTTGGTCGCGTGTAAGGCAAACACCCTACCCGCTTGCTATCGCTCCAACCCTTTCTTTTGCTTTTGTGTACCTTCTAATTTTACTCCACAGGACTCTTCTACCTTTCTTTTCATATATATATATATATGGATTTTTTTTTTTTTTGAGGATGGGGTAGGGGAGTCACACACCTGGCTCTGCACTCAGGAATTTCTCCTGGCAGTGCTCGGGGACCATATGGAATGCCAGGGATCAAGTCAGAGTACATGCAAGGCAAGCACTTTACCTACTGTACTATCCAGCCCTCTTTTCCTACAATTCTTGTGCATGTCCTTAATGCTTAAGATTAAAGACATTTTTTATTTAAGCATTTTATGTGATCCCTTTGAAAACTAAACTGCTGATGTGTAAAAAGCCTTGAGAAAAAACCTTTTAACTCAAGAATTTTCAAAGGAACTGTGATTTCTATGAGGCCTCTATTGCAGTAGCATTAAAGTCTCCTGCAGGGGAGTTGTTTATGTGCCTGCCGGACATCAGTTTAATTAAAAAAAGGTAGATTCAAATCTCTTAAAATTTAGGACCAGAACAATAGTACAGTGGCTATGGCATTTGCCTCCTACGTGGCCAGTCAAGTTCAGTCCCTGGCATTCATCATCCCATATGGTCCCCTGAGCACTCCCAGGAGTGATCTCTGAGTGCAAAGCCAGGAGTAACTCCTGAGTACAACTGGATGTGGCCCAAAACAACAACATCAAAAACTAAATCTCTCAAAATTTGGAATAAATTTAAAAGCACAATTTTTAAGAATAATTTTTAAAAACTTAAAAAGCAAGTTTTAAGAAACTTAGAACCTCTTGTTTGTTTATTATTTATTTATTTATTTGGTTTTAGTGCCACACCCAGTGGTGCTCCGGGCTTACTCCTAGCTCTACACTTGGGATCACCTCTGACAGAGCTTGGAGGACCATATGGAGTGCCAGGGAATGAACCCGGCTTGATAAACTACCTGCAGTGCTATTGCTCTGACCCTGGAACCTTATTCTTTAAAATAGATGTAAAATAGGTCTGTAGTAATACTACAGATGTTCGGGTGCTTTCCAGTTTGATCACCAGCATTTCATGTGGTCCCCTATTTAGGGCTAGGGATATATCCCAGTGGCGAACCATCTGCTTTGTATGTGGAGGTGCTAGGTTTGATCTTCAGCTCTGAAAAATAAAGAAAAAAAGATTTCTTTAAAGAGCAGTGAGGGGCTGGAGCGATAGCACAGCGGGTAGGGCATTTGCCTTGCACGAAGCTGACCTGGGTTCGATCCCCATCATCCCACAAGGTCCCCTGAGCACCACCAGGAGTATTTCCTGAGTACAGAGCCAGGAGTGACCTCTGAGCATCATTGGGTGTGATCCAAAAAGCAAAAAAAAAAAAAAAAAAGCAGTGAATAAGGGCCAGAGTGATAGTACAGCAGGGAAGGCACTTGGCTTACACATGGCTGACCCAGGTTTGATCCCTGGCATCCCATATGGTCTCCCAATCAATGCCAGGAGTGATTCCTGAGTGCAGAGCCAGGAGTAGCCACTGAGCATCATCAGGTGTGACCCAAAAAGCCAAAAAAAAAAAAAAAGTGAATAAAGATAAAATGAAAATTATTTGATATAAATATCTTATTCTTTTTTTTTTCTTCCCATTTCCTTAACTGAATACCTGCTTTGTGTCAGGTACTTGGAAGTTGATGAACAATAACAAACTTGAAGGGTGTGAGTTTGTTATTTTCAGTTTTCTGACTCAAATCTGTCTTGGAGTCCTGAAGGTGTATAGGATAAAAAGCAATTCTCAGGGGCTGGAGCAATAGCACAGCGGGTAGGGCATTTGCCCTGCACGCAGCCAACCCAGGTTCGATTCCCAGCATCCCATATGGTCCCCTGAGCACGGCCAGGAGTAATTCCTGAGTGCAGAGCCAATAGTAACCCCTGTGCATCACCGGGTGTGACCACAAAAAGTCAAAAAAAAAAAAAGCAATTCTCTCCAGATGCTTTTTTCAGGGCCCTTAGAGAAGAAGAGAAACAGGAGAAACCTGAGCTTTTGAATGAGACATGCTTCACCTACGGTTTTGAGTGAGCTTTTGAGTCAGACATGCTCCCACCTATGCCACTGTATACCTAAACCTATTTTCTCATCGATGAACAGCGGGAGGATAATGATAGTGATAGGTGTTGGTGGGAGCTTTGGTGAAGAGTGTTATTGAGTGCTAATGAACACAGCATGGTTGTTGAGTATAATGCCTCCAAAGTCACTTTGAAAAGAATAAAATAAATGTAACAGGAAAATGGGCCATCTAGACTAGTACTCCCAACCTTTAGTATTTTTATAGGTATCATCTCCATAGTTTTGCAAGTTGTGATGTTTGGTAAACTTTTTTTTTTTCATTTAGAAAATCATGAGATGATCAGAGAGATCGTACAGTGGATAGAGCACTTGCCTTGTACATAGCCAATTTGGTTCCATCACCTACATTGCATATGGTTCCCCCAAGCACCACTAGGGTAAACCCTGAGCACTGCCAGTGAGGCCCCCTGGCCCCCTCCAAATGAAGAAAATGGGGAGAAGGGGACAGGGAAAGAGTTAAGGGACTTTCCTTGTATGTGATGTGACAGGACGGGGCGGCCCTAGGCACTACTGGGTATGGTCCAAATCCCCCTTCCCAAATCATGGGAATGTAAGTATGAATGATATTACAAAGATACGAATTTATAACAACCTTGATAATTTAACTTATTTCTCACTTTATCCAATACTCCTCACAAGTCATAGTAACAGCAGTGTTGCAAGAACAGCTGATCCCATCTCACAATTTGGAAACTCTTTGATAACAATTCCCAGTTCAGTTCCAGTCAGTCTCTAGTACTGACTGTTTAAGATCAGTGTTTTTAGTACTGACTATTTAAGATCAGTGTTTTTCTCATTTTTTTGTTTGTTTGTTTTTGTTTGGACCACACTCAGCTATGCTCAGGTTATTGAGCATGCTGAGTGCTGGTAGTGCTCAGAGAACCACATGGGATGTGAGGATGAGAGGGTCAGCTGCATGCAGGGCAAGCACCCTATACACTGTACTACTGCTCTGGCCCCTTCTTTTATTTTCCCCACATCCAGTGGTTCTCAATGCTTACTGCTGGCTCTATATTGAGGAATAACTCCTGGTGATGCTTGGAGGACCATATTCAGTGTCAAGGATCGAACCAGGGTCAGTGGCATGCAAGGCAAGTGCCTTAGCCCCTGTACTATATCTCTCTAGATTCCAACAGACCAGTGTTTCTTGGGTTTTTTTGTTGTTGTTGTTTTACCTTTTTCTTCCTGTGGCTCCCTTACACCTACTTTCCTTCCTATGCCCTCTCCCTCCCTGCCTGTCCCACTGGTTAAACACCTAGTCTCATGCCATGACCCCACCCTGTATACAGTTTTCATGTGTGGTCTCCTTGTTGCATCCTGGGCCCCTGGCTGAGAAGCTTTGTCCTAAACTATGACGGAAAGCTGACCAGGTTCGTGCAGTTAAGCTATTAGGCAGAGATAGGCAAGTGGCCCTATAGGAGCTCTTTGTGGAGCTCAGAGTAGAGATGCTGTTGAGTGAGCTGTTAGTAGTAACTGTGAAATGTCCCTATACTCAGATCCTCATTCATTTTTCTGGTTCCTCCTTGTGGCACAGTCTTATTCAAGGACCCAGCATCATTGTTTTCTTTTTTTTGATTTTGGGCCACCAGTAGTGTGGTGGGCTGGAGCGGTAGCACAGTGGGTAGGGCCTTGCACGCAGCCGACCTGGGCCAACCCCGGTTCAGTTCCTCCACCCCTCTCGGAGAGGCCGGCACGCTACTGAGAGTATCTTGCCCGCACGGCAAAGCCTCGCAAGCTACTCGTGACGTATTCCATTTGCCAAACACAATAACAAGAAGTCTCACAATTTGTTGTGAGACGTTACTGGTGCCCACTCGAGCAAATCGATGAACAACGGGAAAACAGTGCTAGTAGTGTGGTACCTGAAGTGAGTCTGCCAAGCCTCTGGCTCCCACTGTCATTTTCTTAAGATACTTCCCCTTCAGATTGAAAAGTAAAAGAAATGTTAACTTCTCTCCTAGTGTGTTTCCTTCATTGACTTTCCTTGGAATCTTGGGTGATTTTTTTCTAGGTAGAGGGAAACTTCCTAGATTTGGAAGCAGCTTTACAGGACTTCTGTCCCTTTCACTGTGCAGGTTTGTCTCAGTTCAGGACCTAAAGACCTACCAGCGTCTTCCATGCTGCAGTCATCTGTCCTGGAGCAGTAATGCATACCACACTTGGGCCCATCAGTCTGTACCAAATGGGAACCCTCTGCCCCGGGAACGACTGTTGCTCTTAGGAACCTTAACAGATCTCTTAGGAGACTTGGAAGACGAGTGCAGGAATGGGAGCCTCTATGTGAAAGATAACACCGGTTCCCTTGGCTGTGAGGTAAGTAGGAATGAGGAGGTCTGATGCTTTAGGTCCTGATAAGAATGGTATCTGAAAGTTTCAAGAGTTAGTACAGAGGTTAAAGAGCTTGCCTTGCATCCCACTAACCCTGATTAGAATCCCTGGCACCTCAGGAGTCAGGGGCTCCTGAGGGCTGGAGAGATAGTACAGCAAGTAGGGTGCTTGCCTTGCATGTGACCTACCCAGGTTCAATCCCCAGCATCTTGTATGGCTCCCTGAGAGCTGCCAGGAGTAATTCTTTAGTGTAGAACCAGGAATAACCCCTAAGAGCTGCGGGGTGTGGCTCATAAACAAACAAAAAAAGAAATAGCCCCAAAAGCTGCTCTTGGTATGGTCCAAGTACAACGAGCAAAACAAAAGGAGCCAGAGTACAGCGTCTCCCTTGCACAGGCCAATTCGGGTTCAATCTCTGGCATCCCACATAGTCTGCTGAGCACTGCCAGGAGTAATCTCTGAGCATCACTGGGTGTACCCCCCGCCCTCCCTGCCCCCCAACAAGGTGGCATCTGTGAAGCAAGACAACTAAGTCTCTGAGGGAAGAGGGAAAGGGGGTAGAGGGAGATTGACAGGATGCTAGAATCCTGATTTAATTCTTCCTCTCGTTCTTTTCAAGGTCATAGATCTGGATCTTTCTTGGTTGGGTCATCTCTTTCTATTTCCCAGTTGGAGTTACCTGCCTCCTGCCAAGTGGAATTTCTCTGGGGAAGGGCACTTGGAGCTCTGGAGTGACCCTGTGCCAGTGTTTCCCTTGCCCGTCAATCCAAGCACTCTTAGTCCTCACCCTGTTCTCTACCCAGAGACTGCAACCCACTTACTCCAGCACAGGTAATTCTTTTCTCCAGGGCAGAATCAACACTGGGAAACTGGGAAATATATGGATGAGTCAATGGAAGGAAAGAAAGGTACTGAAAATAATGTAGATGAAATATATCAAGACATGGGAATAAATATTAAAATAGGAGTTTTGGGATTAGGGAGATACACTTTGCATGCAAAAGCCACAGATTTACGGGTCCCTGTGCAGAGCAGCAGTAGAGTTTGGGGTTTCGTGGTTGTTTTTTGTTTTTGTTTTTGTTTTTACTTTTTTTGGATGCTCTTTTTACTCCTGTCTTTGCACTCAGGAATTACTCCTGGTTGTGCTTGGGGACCATATGGGATGTTGGGTATCAAACCCAGATCGGCCACGACTCTCCCCCCACTGTACTATCGCTCTGGCCCCAGGACAAGTAGAATTTGAAGGAGGTTTCTAAGAATAACAGCTTTGGGTTATAAAAGTGTTAAACCATTACTAGATTATTCTTTATGGTGGAAAGGGAAGGCATTTGTAGAGGAAAGAAAATAAAGATTTTTGGGGCCAGAGCAATAGCACAGCAGGTAGGGTGTTTGCTGTGCATGCAGTCAAACCGGGTTTGATCCTCAGCATCCCATATAGTCTCCCAAGCACTTCCAGGAATAATTCCTGAGTGCAGAGCCAGAAGTAAACCCTGAGTATAACTGGGTGTGACCCAAAAAGCAAAAAACCAAGAAAAGAAAGATTGTTTCCTTTCCTCAGTAGAAGCAAGCTTAAAGATGTGCAGAACTTGGCTGGGACACTGGTTCGATTGAGTGCACTTGTGAAAAGTCGAAGTAAAACTTACTTTGTTCTGACTCTTGGATCATCCCCAGTTGGCAGCCATGTCTCCGTCATCGTACAGGTAGGGAATAGTCATTTAGGGATGTAGAGAGAGAAAAGATAGGAGACCTCTTGACAAAGTACAATGCATTCTGGAATTGCCTGCATCCCAGCTTGGGGTGCATAATTTCTCCTCATTTTTCTTTCTTGGACACCACTCTAATGTTGCCTGTGCCCTTCTTTAGGGTATAAATTTTTTTATTCTTTTTTTTTTCATCGTTCCAATTTTTTCATAATTTTATTTATTTATTTTTCTTATATTTATTTATTGTATCACTGTGGGAAAAGTTACAAAGCTTTCAGGTTTAAGTCTCGGTCATACAATGATCAAACACCTTTCCCTTCACCAGTACTCATTTTTCACCACCAAGAACCCTAGTATTCCCCCCTCCCACCCCTACCAATGCCTGTGAGGCAGATGATTTCTACTTAACTCTTCTCTACATTGAGTACATTCATTATTTCGACAAAAGATGCACCATTATTGTTTAGAATTTCCCCCCCAACAATCAGAGTTGCTATAAAGGCATTGTGAAATACTTTTTTTTCTATAGGTGGTTATAAGAATCATATAATGTTGCGCAGCCGCAATAGCAGCTGTGCGATTTTGGATTTCTACAAAGAGCCAGATAATTACGAGATTGGTTTCTGTGCATCTGGTGTTATGGCTGTGCCGGAGAGCTGCTCGTGGGGGGCAACTTGTGACCTCGGTAGGGTGTGAAGGATGAGCCCTGTCACCGCCGGCTCACACCTGGCTTTCCTATAAGCTCTGAAGCGGCAGCCACCTTGCTGCCTGGGTGGAAAAAGGCGGAAGGGAGCAACACCCTTTCCCTCCCAGGGAGGCATCGCGCCGTAGTTTAATGCATGGTCCATTCACTTTTCTGCCACAAGCTGCCGGGCTCTGGATTAAGTCCTTTTGCCTCTGGAGCCATGGCTATGCCAGAGAGCCACTCGTGGGGGACAACTCGTGACTTCGGTACGGCGTGAAGTACGAGCCGGTACCACCCCTCTTCCCCTGAACACTGAGACTGCAGTTGCCCCATCACCACCGGCTCATACCTGGCTTTCCAATAAGCTTTGAGGCAGCTGCCACCTTGTATGCAGTCTGGATGCATTTCTGCCAAAAGCCACTGGGTTCGAGATTTGTTTCTGGGTCTCTGGGATCATGGCCATTAATCAGCTTGATCTTGAGCCAGACAGGCCGTTTGTAGGCGGCGACTCGGGGTCTCGTTGGGATGGGGAGGAAAGGGCTGGTTCCACCCCCATCTGGTGAGGCCCCACGTGTGTCATCACTGCAGGCCCAAACCTGACTGTCCAGTGGCCTCTGGAGGATGGTGGTCACTGGGCCGCCAGTGGGAACAGGCCAAGGCACGAAACCTATTCCCACCTGGAGTGGCTCAGTGCCAGTAACCTACTGCAGGAACAGGATGCATTTCTGCCAAGAGCCTTTGGGTTCCGAGATTCGTTTCTGAGTCTCTGGGATCATGGCCATTAAGCAGTTCGATCAGGAACCAGAGAGGCCATGCCTCCAATTATATAGCTGAGCCGAAGGTGTTTTGTGGGTGTGTCTCCCATATACCTAACTTTTGGCCATTTACTTTCTTGGTAAACTTTGCCCCAAGTTTTTGTGGTCTGGCCAAAGGCACAACAGCAATTTTGGGGTATCTGAAAGTCTGACAGTGCCATCAGGCTGCTGATGCACTCGCCTCACAGGTACAGATTGACCTGCTGGTGGCACCATACCCCCTAATTTTCTTATTCTTGGCAAAAATTCTTTCTCTTCTTTTTCTCTCTTCCCCCACAATCCCCAGCCAAAGAGAGGGATAGTACGGGAGTTAAGTCGCTAACCTTGTGTTTGTTGACCCCCAGGTCCTGGACTGTCACTGATATGGGCATATGATCCCGGGAGCACTGCCAGGTGTGCTCCCACTCCAAAGAAAAAGAATTAGCACCTGCCCTCAATAAAATTATTTCACTTCACATAGATAAAAAGAGTTATTAGTAGGAAAGATGGGTCTGGGAATATAATTTTGTGGTAAACTCACAACCACACATGTGCCTTACATGTGTGTGACCCTAGATTCAACCCCTGGCACTGTGTAAAGTAAAATAGTTTTATTGAGGTGGAGAAACAAAGTCAGAAGGTAACCATGGTTGGAAAAGGGTTGAGAAATGCTGCTCTGGGTGACCCTAGTGAATGTATCCTATGATAGACAAGCTGAGTCTCTTGTTCTTTATCTTTTTTCTTTCTTTTTTTTTCCCACTTTCAGCCACACCCAGCTATGCTTTACTATGAGTTACTCTTGACCCTATTCTCAGCATGAAAGGCATATACCTAACCCACTGTACTATCTCTCTAGCCCCCTGAACACATTTTTTGTAGGCACCAGAGAAATGAGTCATGGGGAGGGGAGGTGCCCTGGTGGAGTTCACACTGACCTCCAGCAGCCTGGCCCTGGTGAGCCCCTGCCACATCCACTGGGCCGGGGATCCCTTAGACCTCATGGCGCTCGCCGAGCAGGTGCAGAAGACTGATGAGTTCATCCAAGCAAATGCTGCCAACAAGCTGACCGTCATCGGTGAGCAGATCCAGCATTTGCAAGAACAAGCAAAGAGGGTATTGGAAGATGCTCAGCGAGATGCTGACTTGCACCACGCCTCTTGTAATATAGTGAAAAAAACCTGGCAACATTTACTGCCTTTATAAACGGGAAAGTGAACAGCAGTATTTTTTCATTAATTCTCCCAAGGAATGGGGGATGAGTTGCCCACATGAATTCCTTGGTGCCTACAAACTGCAGCACGACCTGTCCTGGACTGCTGGATATGGTCCCAAAAGCAAAATCAAGACTTTATTGTTGTGGGGCTGAAGCAATAGCACAGCGGGTAGGGCGTTTGCCTTGCACGTGGCCAACCCGGGTTCGATTCCAGCATCCCATATGGTCCCCTGAGCACCGCCAGGGGTAATTCCTGAGCGCAGAGCCAGGAGGAACCCCTGTGCATTGCCGGGTGTGACCCAAAAAGAAAAAAAAAAGACTTTATTGTTGTTTTAGTGTCTTGCGGGTAGGGTAGTTACACAACCACACATCACGAATCATAGGTTGTACACTTTTGCAGGGAGGGGGCAAATTACATTATACAAAGTAGGGTACTGCTAGATGTCAACTTGTGATCTCATGCCTACAAGACAGCCTCTTTACCTCTGAACTATACCCTTGGGCTCTGTTTATGATCTGTTTTTTTGTTTGTTTTTGGTTTTGATTTTGTTTTGGCAGTGCCAGCAGTTAAACCCAGGACTTCAAACCTTAAAGGAAATGCTCTACTACTGAGTTACATACTGGCCTATGAACAGGGGCTGGGAGCATTAGCTCAAGTGAAAGAGTATGTAAGAGGCCTTATGTTTGGTCCCTTGTACCACATTACCACTGAGCACCTTTGGGTGCTAGCCCTAACCCTAACCCTAACCCTTGTCCTCTAGCACTGAACCAACAGGCCCAGGAGTGCCCTAGGTCCACGAGACCCATTCAGGAACACTCCTCTTTTTCAAAAAAATAGATTTTATTTGTGAACAGGAAACATGAAGAGGAAAGGCAAGACTCATGCAGAGCAGTCTTTGATGTCTAATCAAGATGGCAAGGGACTTTTGGCAGAAGGGGAGCATCTTGGGGAGTTTCTCATGTACTGTGTTGTCTTCTTCTACAAAAACCAGATCCCTGCCCACCTGGTGTGGCACCGAGCTCTTTGGCCTGGTAGGGCCTATATCCTGACAGAGCTGCGATTATCCAGGATTCGTGATCTCCCTCACTATATTTGGGTGACCAGTCCCTCTTCTCATCTTTTGCCTTTTAAACCGGAGTATGTGTGCAAGCCAGACCTAGAGCTGAATGAACTCCCCTTGGAGACTGATTCCAAGTCCCTTCCTGTGTTCAACACCTCCCAAGACCAGAAGGGGCAAGAAGATCTTGTCAGGGAATCCAAAGTCTTAGGATATACGGTGAGTGGGAGGGAAAGATCTGAGGACTCAATGGGCAGTGGGTCTCCAAAGAGCAAGGAGATGGAGATCAACAGGACTTCTGGCCTCTTTGCAGGGAGTGGTCACTGATGTGCTGAATGGAGCCGCTGGCCTCTATGAACTGGACGGGCAGCTGAGGTTCTGCCTTGCCTATCAGCAGGTCCATGACCTCAGGCGGGTATTGCGACCAGGAGTTTCTCTGGAGGTATGTAAGGTGTCAGGGTTGGTGACGAAAAGAAGCCCTCTTATGGTCAGAATGACAGTACAGCGGGTAGGGCACTTGCTTAGCACCTGGCTGACCTGAGTTCAATCACATATAACCCTTGAAGCCCCTCCAGGAGTGATGATCCCTGAACACAGCCAGGAGTTAGCACTGATCATCACCAAGGGTAACCTCCAACCCCCCAAAAAGCCCACTCAGTAGCCTCTCATGGTGTGTTTCTGTGTGTATTGTGTATATGTGTGTGATAAGTGTTTGTTGTATTGGGGCCACGCCCAGTGGAGCTCAGGGCTTCCTCCTGGCTCTGCTCAGAGGGATTAAATCCCTGTCTGCTGCATACAAGACAAAAGCTCTACCTACTGTACTATCATACCAGCCTCATGTTTTAATTTTATATTTTGCATGTTTATTTGAGAACTAAAGGGAAAGAAAGAGATACATGCACAAGCGAGAACACGGGCTTCCTCAGAGTTGAAAAAGCTGAAGTAAAATAGTTTTATTTCGAAAAATGGAGGGGCTGGAGCAATAGCACAGCAGGTAAGGTGTTTGCCTTGCATGTAGCCAACCGGGTTTGATTCCCAGCATCCCATATGGTTCCCCGAGCATCGCTGGGTGTGACCCAAAAAGCAAAAAAAAAAAGGAAAGGAAAGGAAAAATGGAGGGAGAGGGGCCAGATAAATAGTATAGCAGGTAGGACTTGCACCTTGCACGTAGCTGACCCGGGTTTGATTCCTGGCATACCATATGGTCCTCTGAGTACTGCTAAGAGTGACTCCAGGAGTAACCCCTGCCTCTCTACTCCCCCCCCCAAAGAAAAAGAAAGGAAAAATGGAGAGGCGAGAGAGAGAGTACACATCACAGTTGTGATAAAGGCAGCAGAGAATATTCCTAGCCTCTTTTATCTACTGTTCTTGTTTTCGAGGCAGGGTGGGGAACTCAGCAGTAACAATATAACAAGTAGTGTTGAAGGGTAAAGATGACTTGCTTTCATGTAGTACTGGGGATTGAACCCAGTCTCAAAGGTAGAAAGTAGGCACTCTACTACTGGACCATATGCTTTTTATTAGATTTTTAATTTTGGGGGGTGGGGGTCATACTTGGCGATACTCGGGTTACTCCTGGTTTTGCACTCAGGAATTACTCCTGGCAGTGGTCAGGAAACCATATGGGATGCCAGGGATTGAACCCTGGTTGAATCTATGCAATACAAATGCCGTACTCTAACCCTACCACATGCTTTTTGTCAAGAGCAGTGGGTTTTATTAAGAACATGTGTTTTGTTTTGTTTTGTTTTGTTTTAAAAACATGCTTTTTGTTAAGAAGAATTGTTCTTAATTAAGAATAAGAATGATAACTTTTTTTTTCCTTTTTGAGTTACACCTGGCTGTGCTCAATGTTCGCTCCTGGCTATGCACTCAGTAATTACTTCTGGCAGTGCACAGGGTACATATGGGATGCTGGGGATCGAACGAAGGTTGGCCATATGCAAGGCAAATGCCCTTCCACTGTACCATCACTCCGGCCCCAATTTTTGTTTGGTACAACAAGTCGGACACTTTCCTTACATGCAATTGACCCAGGTTCAGTTCCCTTGCACTACATACGATCCTCTGAGCACCACTAGGAGTTTTGCCTGAATACTTAAACTATGAGTAATCCCTAGACACAGCCAGATATGGCCCAAAAAATACAACAAACAATCCAGAAGTGAGCTGATATGAAGGAGGAGGTTCTGGGACACTGGGAAGTGAACATGAGGCCAGAACATCTCCTGGCCCACAGAGACAGAGTGGAACTCATGGAAGATGAAGACTTAACCACAGGAGGTGATGGGGGAAATCAAGGCCTGGAGGCCAGAACCTATGCAGGAGAAATTATATTTTTTCACGAATCCAGAAAAGAGAAACTAGTGAACTCTGCCTGTCCATTCTATTGGGGGCTTCATCTCTGCTTTTTCTTTTTTTTCTATTTTCTCCAGCTCCGGGATGTTCACCTCCTTCAATCTGTGGGTGGAGGGACAACAGGACCAGTGTTAGCATCCTGCTTCCGTGGTGCCGTTTTAGTCCGGGGCTTCTCCTGTCGAACTCCAGAGATTCATTCTTCCCAACAAGTCTACGGGGCCTCTCTGTATGAGCAGCTGCTGTGGGAACGGCAGTTAGGACTTCCCCTCTACCTGTGGGTTGTCAAGGCCATAAAGGAGCTGACCTGCAAGTGAGGAGGGACGGGTGGGGTAGAGGCGATGGCCGGACTAGGACACTTCCTCTGAGAGGGAAGCTGGATTTTGTCAGAAGTGGGTTCTTTGTGGGAGGTCATTCGGTTTCTTTCCCTCACCAGGCTGTGCCCCCATGTGCTGAGATACAGACAGTTCCTACAGCATTGCTCTCAGGGGAATCCCAGCCTGGTCCTACAGCTACTGACTCCTAGTCTGGATGTTCTAGCGCCGCTGTGCAGCACCAAACGAAATCCACACAAGGAAATCCTTGAAGAGCCACATCACTGTCCACTCCAGAAGGTATTAAGCTGTTCAGGGAGTATGGGTTGCAGTGCTCATGTGCAGGCAGACAGCTGCAACACAGTCTCATATCTTCTCTCACTCACAGTATACTCCGCTGCAGAGCCTCTGCTCTTTTCCTCTTCTGGCTTCGGTGAAGGAAGATGGGCAGTACAGGGCCTGGGACTCCTTTGATCCTAAGGCCCTTCTGCCCTTTCCAGAGGCTTCTCACCTGACCAGTTATGAACTCAATCGGCGCCTCGCCTGGTCCTGGCTCTGTCTGCCCGCCACTGCCTTCCAGGCAAGACAGGTAAGTGGGGATGCTGCAAATTGAACCCGGATCAACCATGTGCAAAGCAAACACCCTACCCACTGTACTTTCGGTCCAACCCCTGTAATCACGTTTTCTGTGTTTTTTGAGTCATACCTGGTGATGTTTGGGCTTACTCCTTGCTCTTGAATTCAGGAATCATTTCTGGTGGGATTCTGGGGACCATTATGATGCCAGAGATCTAACCCAGGTCAGCTGTGTGCATGCAAGGAAAGTGTATTACCTGCTGCATTATCTTCAGCCTTAGTTACTTCTTGCCTCTTTTTTGTTTGGTTGGGTTTTTTTGTTTGTTTTTGGGCCACATACCTAGCTGTGCTCAGGGCTTACTCCTGGCTTTATGTGCAGGGGTCACTCCAGCCCGAACTCTGGGAACTATATTTGGTGTTGGGACTTGAACCCAGATCACATGCAAGGCCAGTGGTCTGCCTGCTGTACTGTCTCTGGCATGCAGTTTTGACTGCAGTAACCTAACTAGATACCATTTAACTAGAGTGGGGTAATCATTGTCTCCCTTCGATACCTTTTCTGATTTTTCCAGTGTTCATAAAATAAAACTAAAATTCCTTATTGTATTCAATGAGTTCTTTCATGCTCTGCTACTTCAGTTCTGTCTGTGCACTTTCTCTCAGAGAATGCTGGGACACTATGTTGCTGAAAGTGGGAACACAGTATGTTCTGTTCACATCTGTCTTTCCAATAAGTTCTTTAGGTAGACACCTTGTCTTTTTGTTTGATTGTTTATTTTTGTTTTTCTTTGCTTGCTTGCTCATTTTGGTACCCCATTTGGCTGTTTTCAGGAATTATTCCTGATTCTGCACTCAGGACTTATTCCCGCAGAGCCTCAGGAACCGTCTGGGCTGCCAAAGATCAAATCCAGATTGTCCAGGTGCAAGGCAAATGCCTTACCAGCTGTACTTATCACTCAGGCCCCAAGAAACCCTGACTTTTGTTCACTATGTAGTGAACTCTGAACAATGCCTGGCACATTGTAGCTGCTTCATATATGTTTGATAAGCACTTTATGCTTCAACCTTCATCTCCCTACAGATTTTACTTGGGTTTCTGGTGACTTCATCTCGTAAAGGTTGCCTGTATCTTCGGGACCAAAGTGGTTGCCTCCCCTGCCTTATCCTGGACAAGAACTCTGAACCTCTCAGTGATCCCCAGTTCATAGGTACAGAATTTAAACGTGGAGGAAATATGGCTGTGGAGCATAGTTTCTCAAAACAATGTGCAGTCAGTACTTTCTGGGATTTCCTAGAGATGCAGAGTTGTCATATGTTGATTCAACAAGGTTTTGTAGAGGGAAAGGGAAAGGCGCAAAGGATTCTCTTCTCCAAACTCCAATAGCAATGCTTGTCTCTCTGACCATAGTTCCTATCAGGTAGCTCCTAATAGGCACACCAGGATGCCTTCCATTCTGATTTTTTTTTTTTTTGGCTAAAGAAGTGGAGGGCAATACCCAGTAGTGCTGGGGTTGGGGCAGTGGTATTTGGGGGATATGAGGTGCAGAGAATTGAACCTGGTCCTCCAACATGTGTTTAGCCCAGTTCCCCAGTGATACTCGGGATGTGTCTGACTCTGAGTTCAGGGGTGGCCCCTGTGTTGCTCAGGGAACCATAGTGGTGCCAGAGCGGGATTGATGGGATGCAGGGCAAGCACCCTGTAATCTCCCTAGTTGCTATACTCTCTTTTTTTTTCTTATTTTCTTGGTGTTGGGTCTAAACCCAGCCATGTTCGGAGGTTACTCCTGGCTCCTGACTCTGCATTCGGGAATTACTTCTGGTGGTGTGCAGAAGATCATATGGGATGCCGGGGATTGAACCCCCAGATTGGCCACATGCAAGACAAGTGCCCAGCCACTGTCTCTCTTGCCCCTGATTTCTATGTTCTTAATTTGCAAGAATAATGATCTGAGCTGGAGCAATAATACAGCGGGTAGGGCGTTTGCCTTGCATGCGGCTAACCTGGGTTTGATCCCCAGCATCCCATATGGTCCCCCAAGCACCACCAGGAGTAATTCCTGAGTGCAGAGCCAGGAGTAAGCTCTGAGCATTGCTAGGTATGGCCCAAGAAAGGAAAAAAAAGAAAAGAAAAAGAATAATGATCTTATTGAGACTTAGGAAAAGCCCTGGCGACAAAAGTTGCTTAGTTCTTAGGAACAGGTATTTTGTGGTATCTGAGAAAGGAGAATCAAGGCAATCATGATTAGGATTGGACATGCAGAGGAGTGATTTTTCTCTTCTGTTTGTTTGTTTTGGGCCCATATCTGGCTATGCTCCGGGCTTATTCCTGCCTCTGTGCTCAGAGAACACTCCTGGCAGAGGTTGGGGGGGGTGCTATATGTATTACCAGGGATTGAACCCAGGTCGGCTGTATGCAGGGCAAGCACCTGCCTGCTGTGCTATCACTCAAGTCCCTGTAATATTTTCTCTCTGTGAGGTATCATCATTCTGAGGGGGCTGTGATCAGGTCTGGGTGTTCATATTAAGTTAAGGGAGAAGTGAGACCTGTTGGCTTGGGTGGGCAGTGCGACCTGTAGGGCATTCTGCTTCACTGCCCACCCCCCCAGCTCCTTATCCATAAAGAAAACTTTCTTCCTCTAGGCTGCCTGTTACGGGTGGAGAAGTTCCAGTTGATTATCGAGAGGAATGTCAGAAGCAACTTCCCTTCCTGGGAGGAACTAAGCAAGACTGGCTACATTCAGAAACAGCGTGCCAGGTGACTTCTCGGACTTTTCTGAGACTCTGAAGGCAGGGGCAGGGCCTGGTGCTGATGGGCAGATGTCATAGTCCACAATATCCATAGCCCAGGTCACTCAGAAACCTATTACTTATTTTTTCCAACAGAATCTATGTCCAGTTCTCTCTGGCTGATGCCCTGATCCTGTCTGTGCCCAGACTTCTCCATAACTCAGCCTCCTCCTTCACATCTTCTCAGACAGAGCCCGCTCTTATAGCACAGAGCCGGCTATTCTTCTTGTCCCACAAGGAGGCCCTGATGAAGAGGAACATTCATGTTCCCAGGGCAGCCAACCCAGAGGTGCCCAAGCCTACTCTCAGTTTTTATGTTTCGGGCAACTGGCTTGGAGGCACCCAGAAGAAGGAAGGCACTGGATGGAGTCTACCTGAGCACACAGGAGAAAAGGACATAGATCAGAAGGTAAATTAGGACTGCAATAGACTCTTGCTTCTGGCTGGAACCCTCTGACCCAGTCTTACTCTCTTACAGATTCTTCTCCTCTTCCTTGGCTCCTCAGTCCGATGGTTCGAGTTCTTGCACCCAGGTCAAGTGTACCGGCTTGTGGCTCGTGGCCCTCCTGTGAGTGCCCTACTAAATTACATCCTTCCAGAAAGATGTTTTGGGGCTTCAAATCTAGAGATAGAATGCTTCTGGCTCATCACTCTAGGTCTCCTGAAAGATTGGGAAATTTTGGTCATATAAAAGGCCTGTTTCCTTCAGTAGACTCTAGAAAGAAAGCAAATTGTGTCGTATAATTTTATGAACCTCCTTCTAGACCAGTACACACTCAGCATCAGTTGTCTTTCCTTTCCTGGTAGACAACACTGGTGCTTGAGAGCGGTTCATCCAGCGAGTCCCAGTGTCCTTTACATTTGGCCGGCTGTGCATCCTGCCTCACTGTCCAGGATGAGTGGACTGTAGAACTTGAGAGCTCCCAGGACATCCCAAATGTGCTGGGTATCCGTAGGACTGAAACCTCCTTACCTGACTTGTTCAGTGACAAGTAAGAATCTGATTGCTTCACCAGTTAATTTGGTTGATCTCTCCTCAGACTGTAGTTGGGTGGTGGTAAATGATCTATTTTTTGTTATAGCATGTGTAGCTTCAATGTGATTTAGCTCCTAAAAGAACAGTTTCCATGTAAGTTGTAATTAGTATCTGAGTGTTCTCCAAGTGTGTTAGAATTTTTTTTAATTGAATATCCATGAGAAAGACCATTACAAAGCTGTTCATGATTGGATTTCAGTCATACAAAGATCCAACACTCATCTCTCCACCACTGTACATTTCCTACCACAAGTGTACACTGTTTCCCTCCTACCATCCCCCACCATCCCCCCAGCCTGCCTCTATTGGGAGCATTCTCTCTCTCTCTCTCTCTCTCTCTCCCCCCCTCTCTCTCTCTCTCTCTCTCTCTCTCTCTTTCTCTCTCCCTCTCTCCCCCTCTCCCCTTCTTCCCTTCTTCTCTTCTTCTCTTCTCCCCTTTTCCCTCTCCTTCTGTGCATTATGGTTTGCAGTACAGGTACTAAGAGGTCATCTTGTTTGTTCAGGGAATTCAGCATTTTTATTTGGACGGTAAGGCTAGAGTAGCTTTTTCAACTGAGTGGCAACTTTGGGGTGGGAATGTTACTACCACAGCTTCTGAAATTACAGGGAGGTAGGGGGAGGTAGCCCATCCCAATGCAAGAAAGCCTGGAGATTTCAGTCACAGAACCGCATACCTGAATTTTTAGCAGATTAGATCTCGGTGAGGTCCATCCCAAGATGGTGGAGTCCAGCCAGGGGCATAGAAGCAAGCAACTGCTGGGGGCTTGCCTGAGAGGGCATCAGGCTGACCCGACACCTCCGATTTATCCTGGTCTGCCTTACACAGGTCCAAGATTAATTGTGGTTTTTAATCTCTTTTGAGATTTATTTACGGCTGATAAATGAGCTTATATAGCTGAGCCATAGGTGGTTTGTGGACATGGCTTCCACATGCCTAACTTTTGGCTATTTAGTTTCCTGGGAAATTTGGTCCTGAGTTGTTGGGGTCTGGCCAGAAGCACAGCAACAATTTGGGGGTATCAGGAAGCCTGAAGGCACCACCACTCTGTTGATGTACTTACCCCGTGGGTACAGGTTGACTTGCTGGTGGCACCACACCCCTGTGTTATGGTTTTGAAATGATCCTGAGCAAGCTTTCTCACATGTAATAAAAAGCCATTATAATAAACAATAATATAAGAAACATAAAAATAAGGACAAAATGTAGACATTTATAGAGAAGGATTTTCCTTTAGTTCAAGAAGATGCTTCAGGGCCTGGAGCAATAGTACAGCAGACAGCGTGTTTACCTTGTATGCAGCTGACCCAGGTTTGATCCCCAGCATCCCATATGGTTACCCAAGCCTCCCAGAAGTGATCCCTGAGCATCACTGGGTATGACCCAAAAAAACAACAAACTTAAAAATAAAAAAAGGTGGTTGTTTTGCCCAGGGATATAGTTAAGTGGTAGAGCACTGACCTTGTATGAGACCCTGGAGTCTATTCTGACACCACCACTAAAATCAAAAATAAAAACTATATTGTTTCAGGAATCTAAGGAGCAGGCATGACCCCTCCAAGATGGAAAGCTACAAATAATGAACTGAGGTTTTAGATATATATTCAAATAGAAATTTAATTCTATTGGTGTGCGTCTGGGTTTTTGGAGGATGAATGGCTGAGGGTTTGAGCCACACCCAGGCTTATAATGAACATAATTTCATCATATCTTATGTTTATGAATCTGGATTGATAAAGCTCAAGGCTTATTCCTGGCTCTGTGCTTATGGATCACTTCTGGCAATGCTTGATGAACCATGTGTGGGGCTGTGTGCTGGACAAGCAGCCTACCCCCTGTAGTATTGTGGGTAAATCCTTAGTGCTTTTTTTTAGTTGAATCACTGTGAAATACACAGTTAAAAAATTGTTCAAGATTGAGTTTCACTCATACAATATTCCAAAACTCATCCCTTCACCAGTGTATGTTTCCGCCACCCCTACACCCAACCACGTAATTCTTGATAAGACCTGTGGTTTCAAAGTTGGAAAGGTTCTAGGTGATCTGCCAATGTCTTCATGCTACTAATTCTCTGACCCTGCAGATGCACCGATTCCTTGGTGTCTTTCTCAGCAGAGATTTTGTCACGGACACATTCGGCCTTTCTCCAGATGAAGTCTGGTAAGTTCACCTTACTGGGTGAGGTGTGAAGTAGAGTGGTCCAGACAAGTACCACTGACCCTTCCCCTTTCTTCCTGTAGGCAGTGCAGGGGCTGACAGAGGGTGTATGAAGCTCACCGTAGCTCTGGAGACTGCCGACTGTAAATTCCGCCCTCATTTGAACATTTATATTGATGAGCCCCACTTGTCTCCCAGATTGGGACTCCTCCCAGGAGCCCTAGTTTATTTCAGCAAACTGGAGAAAAGAATTTCCAGGTGAGGGGTGGGCGTTGGGGGAGGGACACTGGGAACATTGGTGGTGGAGAATGGGCACTAGTGGAGGCATGGGTATTCGAACATTGTTTGACTGAAACACAATCATGAAAGTTTGTAAGTCTGTAACTGCATCTCATGGTGATTCATTAAAATTTTTTAAAAAATCTGAAAAAAGAACTAAGGGAGAATATTCTATTTCATGGGCTGGAGTGATAGCACAGCTGGTAGGGCGTTTGCCTTGCATGCAGCCAGCACTGCCGACCCAAGTGCAATTCCTCCACTCTTGGAGAGCCTAGCAAGCTACCGAGAGTATATCACCCGCACAGCAAAGCCTGGCAAGCTACCCTTGACATATTCGATATGCCAAACACAGTAACAAGTCTCACGGTAGAGACGTTACTGGGCCTACTTGAGCAAATCGATGAACAACAGGAGGACGGTGACAGTGATTCTGTTTCTTCCCAAAAAAAAAAAAAGTTTCCAGGTGATAGTCTCCAGATGAGCTTGCCTCTTCTTCTTGCAAATGTTCACCCCTACTGAACTGTGGTAGAAGGCACCCATCTTCTCTTTGCTCTTACTTTCTCCTCTTACTTACTTAGTCTGAGTAGTCTGGCATTTATGTTCTGTACCCCAACAAGATGTTCCAGACCAATCTTTCCTCCTCATCCTAACTGTTTTGGTAAAGACAGGCCAGAGGACATTCCTCAGGGAGTGTTGCCAAGCATGCAATAGTTCCATGTTCAATTTCAGACTGATTTTTTTCCACTCTTCTTAGCTTTCTTTTTTTCTTTTTTTTTTTCTTTTTGGGTCACACCTAACGATGCACAGGGGTCACTCCTGGCTCTGCACACTCAGGAATTGTTACCCCTGGCAGTGCTCAGGAGACCATATGGGATGCTGGGAATCGAATCCGGGTCAGCATCGTGAAAGGCAAATGCCCTACCCGCTGTGCTGTCACTCCAGCCCCTCTTCTTAGCTCTTTCTCCTCCACTTGCAGGTTGTACAATGTCTACTGTTGTTTCCAGCCAACCACCCATGTACAGGTCCTGAGTTTTCCCCGGGAAACCATGATCAGGTTAGTGTCCTAGACTCCATTTTCACAGCTTTGGATCCACATCTCACACATGTTCCTGGTCCTGGAATGTTTGCCATAATTATAGTTTTCTTCCATTCCAGCAGAATTATATTGATTCAGAGGGATTTCCTATGCCCCAAATTAAAAATGCCTAATATCTATCATAAGAGTTCTAGGCCCTTACTTACTTGTTTCTGTTTTGGGGTCATGCCCCACAATGCTCAGATGTTACTTCTGGCAGTGCTCAGAGGACACTATGGGATGCCAGGGATTGAACCTGAGTTGGTTGTGTGCAAGACAAATACCCTTCCTGCTGTACTATCCCTCTTGACCAGTTCTTAGCAAATTTTATGTGTAAAATGCAAGTATTGGGAAGATAGAAGCAAGGAGTGTACTTGCCTTGCACTCAGCTGACCCAAGTTCAATCCCTGGCATCCCATATAGTTCCCCAAGCCCACCAGGAATGATTCCTGAATGCAGAACCAGTAGTAACTCCTGAGCATTGCTGGATGTGGCCCAAAAACCAAAAAAGGAAAAAAAAAAATCAGAGAGGGAGCCATAGTAACTAGGGGAGAAAGAGTTCCCTACTGGCTTCTCCTTGTGATTTGCTAAGTCCTTCTGCTTTCAAATTCTGTCAGTTTTTTTTATTCACCTTTTACTTTCTCCCCACCTCTCTCTAGGCCTTCCCTGCCCCACATTTACCTGGCTGAACTTCTGCAGGGTGACCAGGTCCCATTCCAGGCCACTGCCTCCTGTCATATTGTTTCTGTCTTCAGCCTTCAGCTCCTATGGGTTTGTGCTCATTGCAGTTGCCTTTGTGTTCAGGTATAGTATGGAGAGGATAGCCTGAGCTGGGTACAAGATGCTAAAAGATGTGATGGGCCCAAGAGGATTTTCCTGACTACTTTCTTCTTATCAGGGAAGGTGTACTGCTCAGTGTTCTACTTGCCCTACTCAAACATCTGTAAGCCAGGCTAGCATCAGGTGAGTGCACAGTGGGTGCCCATTGCACTATCATTACCTCTTAGATGACATTTTCTGTCTGCTGTCCTTATGTAAGCATCATCCCTGACTTGTTGTAATTACTTAATACTTTTAGAGGAATGAAGGAAGGAAAAATGAGCTAAAGACTCATTTTAAGCTGTGCGAAGAAAGGCATTTGGCACCACATGACTGGTCCCCTGGGTTTGCTATGGGAGTTTGTTTCTTTTCTTCCCTTTCCCAGGTTCCTGGTAGAGGATGGGACCGCTGAAGCTGTGGTGACCTGTAAGAATCATCATGTGGCAGCAGCACTCGGGCTGAGTCCTAGTGAGTGGACCTCCCTCCTAGAGATGGTTCGAAGGCCAGGAAGAGTGGCCTTGCAATTTACATGGTCCGGAGCCCAATTTGAGGTGAGAAGTATCTGAGATGTAGGGGCACAGAATCCCATATTCCAGAGGGTTTTAGAGTTTTGAATTCTGATTGATCTTCCATTTCCCTTTCTAGTCCTCAGGGAAAATTAATGAGCCCGTGACCTTCTTCCTCCGAACACTTTGTACCAGCATTTCTGTCCTTCGCCCTGTTATGCTTACTTTTGAATTTGAGAGGAAACCCTCTAATATCATTTCATTAGGTAAGGATGAATGAGTATGTAAATAGATGGGTCCCAGAGGAAAAGGATGAGGAATTGGTAATGGGAGTTCTGGAATTGGGGATAATGGTGGATGGGGACTAAAAAAACCAGATGCTTAAAATATATGTTCTTCCCCCCTTCCTCTCTCAGAACATTCTCGGCTACAGCGATTCCAGTATGGGGAACTCCCTTTCCTGACTTATGTGAATCAGAGGATCCAGCTGTCATGCCTCTCTATCCAAGAACCTACACACCCCAGATCTGCAGCGGCCTTTGCTTTCTCCAGCTAACCTGACCTGCAACAGTGACCTGAATAGAAGTTCTTGTGGGCGCAAACCTTACCTGGGTCCCAGCCCCTTTCCCTGTCCACGGCCCTTTCCTTCTCTGTAGCTAAACCAGGACTCCAGAACCCTAAGTTCAAAAACCGCTACACACTCCCCTGAGCACTGCCAAGAGTAATTCCTGAGTGCAGGGCCTGTTGTGATACCAAAAAAAAAAAAAAAAACCCAACAAAAAAAAAATTGCTACCCAGTGCTTAAGAGACAGGTAGGCACTTGTGCAGTCAACTTGGGTTCAATTCATAATACCTCTTACTGAACCCCACGTGCTGCTGGTATGATCCTTAAGTGCAGAGCTAGGAGTGGGTGAGGACCACCCATCCCCTATAAAAACCCTTCTACACTACCTTAATTTTTCCTTCAAATTCTGCTGCCAACCTGCCCTGGGGAGATTATAAAACTAGGGAAATCATGGCTCTGCAGATATGTCTGTTCTGTTTGGGGTTGACACTGACAGGTCATTGGCATTGACGGGTTGCCCAAATCATCTGGATTCTGCTGATATGGCCTGAAGAATGAAGTATTGCCTCTTGTGGGGGTTACTCGTAACAGGTCTCTTGACCTGCAATAAAGTTATAGGAATGTTTCTTACTTGTATTCATCTATGGGATTCCAGCCCTCCGAATTTCCTAGCAGTTGGCACACTGCTTACCATTCATTTGGGTCCTTATTTGCCAGCAAAATTGGCACTGTTTCAGAGAAAAGTTCAGCAGAGGAAATACTAAATTTCAAACTTAAAAGGAATAAACTGGAGAGAAGGAAAGTAGACAATATAGCTTTGATGGTTTCAGTCAGTGAGACTTGGCCAAGGAGAAAATTAAGTGTGCAAGTCTAGAGTTGTTGGGAAATACAGATTGGGGGGCAGAAGGTGGGGGGGGGGGGGTAGTGCTTGGAAACTCCCAAGCATTGGAAGGAGTAAGTAATGGAGGAAGCTGGAATAAAAGCACTTAAGAACCTCAGTCAAGGGGTTAGTGCTGTGGGTTTCACATGAGCTAGAACTAAGGCAAATCCTTAATCTACAACACTAGAACAGCAGGAATTCTTAAGTTAGAATCACAGAAGCAGAGCTTTCAGTTTTTTGAGAATGTGCAAGCATTTTGACTTGATTTATCCATTTCTTTCATGGGAAATGCCCTCTAGGTGGAGCAGAAGAACCTAGTCACACTTTCCTTCCTCTTCATTACTTCAAGAGGGCTTACCTGAAGCATTCCCAGTTTTGGGTCATGCCCACAGGTCAACTTGAGATTTGAATTTCCTTTCTTTAGCGTTATGGGGTAACTTAACTGTTGGGGCTCTCTCCATTCTGAAAAAGCCAGATTCTCTTGAGAACTTAGTTTTCTCTCATTTTCTCTTTCTGAATTTTCTTTAAATCTGTTTTATTTGAAAGAGAGAAATGAGCTTTAGAATACTCAGGTCTTTAAAATACGTGTACCCTCAAACACATACACACGCATTATAGTGTATGCACATATAGAAGTTTGAGAAAGCTAGCCAATAGCCGGCCGGTTAGCTCAGTTGGTTAGAGCGTGGTGCTAATAACGCCAAGGTCGCGGGTTCGATCCCCGTACGGGCCAGCTGCAGACTTTTTTTTTTCCCCCTTGTACTTTATTACCGGAAGTTGCCAGTCCGAAGCCAGTTGACTTATGACTACAAACGTTCGTGAACTCACGGCTTCTCAAAATCTAATACATTTCCACGTGTTCGAATAAGAGTTCCACGAGTTGCGGTAAGCCGCAGTACTCCCCAGGCACTGTTTTTTCTTCGCTGAGGGTGTGTCGTGGGAGGCCCGGGAGGTAATGGGGAATCCAGATAAATGATCTTGAAAAGTGAAGTAAACTGGATGATTCCAGTTCTTTCTTGCCTTGGAATTCGTGGCAGTCGGTTTCAGCCCTTGAATCAACCACTAGTTTACAGAAAGAGTAGTTAGAGGGCAGAGCAATTAAGAAAGGTTGAAGATGAGCCCCTCTTACGATATGTTGTAGTCGTGGCCGAGTGGTTAAGGCGATGGACTAGAAATCCATTGGGGTTTCCCCGCGCAGGTTCGAATCCTGCCGACTACGGGTGTTTTTTCTACTTTGTGCTTAGTATCCTTCTTCCTGTTCCCTTCTAGAGATCTGAAAACAATCTTACTTAAAGAATCCTAGACTCCGGCATGTACCCTCAACTAGCCACTTTTAACACCCAGCGAGGTTCTTCCATGTTTGAATGTTTCACATAAAACTAAATTTGCCTGCTAAAAAATTAGATGCGTGATTCAATTATGTGGTCCAGATTCTGAGTATATTCCTTGTATGGCAACTTTGGGAAACTTCCTCACGTCTTTGGCGCCGTGGCTTAGTTGGTTAAAGCGCCTGTCTAGTAAACAGGAGATCCTGGGTTCGAATCCCAGCGGTGCCTTATTTCATACCAACAGTGTGCTTCTCATTTTTGTTGTAGTTTAAATGATCGGTTTATTCCTTTTCTTTTTCCTGCTAAAACAGGTGCAAAGCTTTTATGACTGCCTGTTCAAAAAGCTCCAAAAGCTAAAATGACTAAGCAGGATTTCTGACTGGCCTACATTTCTTTTGCCACACCCAGATTGCTTCTGGGCTAGACCACTTGGTCACCCTGATCCCCAATGAGAAATATATCCACCTCCATATTTTAAATAATACATTAAAAGATATATTTAGTTTAAAATTGAGGGGTGGTTCTTCAATGAATAGCTCCTATATCAGGCCCTTCACATATAATTATTTTTTTTAAATTGACATCAGGGCTAGGAATTAACAGAGATAATGGCGAACTGGCACTCTAACTTCATTCAAGAGGGTGCTGAAGGAATACCACGTATGTGGACAGCATGGGAGCTGAAAATATGTAATTCCTGGTGTTTCAGTGTTGAAGGGCAGAGGCCATTTCTGGAGCACTGAAGCCAAGCTGGTGAGGGTAGATGAGATTTAAATGCTATTCGTGAAAGAGGCAGGAATCAAGATCTGCAGGCTATTAGTGCAGATCCTCCTTTTAATCCTCCTTTTAAAAAGCAGACAGCAGAGAGAAAAAAGTCACCCTGTCTTTGAACCAGGAATCACAGTAACTTCTCTGAAAAGAAGTGGTGACTTGAAGAAATTATTCTCAAAGTGATAGGCCGGGCAAGGGTGGCATCACTGAAACTCGGCTTATGTGTGCATGGCCAAACAAACCAGGCACAATCCTCAAAGAACTCAAAGGAGGGAAGATCGAACAGGGTGCTTGACATGACACATGCCAGAAGTGGAATCTCGTCAGGTTTAGGTGTGGAGCATGGTCAGATGAGTCTGTGAAAGCAGCTCAGTCTTCCAGACCAAATGGAAATTGGCCCTATATTCTATTAAACAACTACGATGTAACAGACATTGCTGTAGTCTCTGGGAAAACAGCAGACAACAATGCGCACAAAACAATAAAAACAAACGAACAAAAAACCTAGAACTTGGTCACTGAAGTCTGAAGAAGAGTAAATTCAGGATGATACTAAGGTTCTTATTTTGGAGGAGGGGCAAGGGGTCACACCTGGTAATGCTCAGGGGTTACTTCTGGTTCTGCACTCAGAAATTACTGATGCCAAGGTTCTTTTAAGGGAGTTCTAAGCGAGTCCACAGCTGCAATTTCCCTAATAACTTTTTACTCTGACCCAATTTTTTTCTAACTGACCACCCTAAGTTATACCTTAGTGTGTGAACAAGATGGTTCAGCCCAAAATGCCACCAGTGAAACCAACATAGATCAGAACTCTGCCGGAAGAACACCTAGAGAGAAGGCAGAACACAATGGCCTACAATTTACTCACCAGAGCAGCCTGTATTAAGAAAGCAGAGACCGACGAACAGAACAGCTCTGGTGACTGCAAGATCCTGAGTCTAGGTCTACTAGCCTTGGACCACACACAGGCAGATCCTTGCCTCAGGGTCTCTTAGCTTCTGGAGGTTAGATTGGGGGCGGAGGGGACAGGAGTACCCGTGTTTTACAGACTCAAATCTTGGAACCATTGTTGGTTCTGACAGGGTTGGGCGGGCGGACTGGCGTCCTGCCTGGTTCACGCAGCTTGGAAACAGATCTTCCTACTCCACCCCACAATTCATTGACCTCTCCCTGGGTCTTCTCGGTTCTGGAACTTATCGCCTCATCTCGATACCGCCAGGCAATCTGGGGAGACTGTGGACTTCTCAAAGCGCTGGCCCTGGCCAGCCATTCCAGGAGGATGGACAGAGAAAGAGGGGCAGCTGGTGATCACGGCTCAGTACTTGCCCCAACCAGGCAACTTAACCATTAGCCTTAAAAGTTTTATTGCAGACAACTGGATTTGAAGACGTTGGATAGAGGCTGAAAGAGAAGGGCCCCGAGGTCATAAAAGGCGTAGAGATGTACTAAAGTGGGAACTAGGTACAACTAGGTGGTCCTCGAAGGCTGCAAAGGAGCGAGGTTGCTCCCTCCGTCTTTCCTGGGCGTTATTTCTTGACTGGAGGTGGAGCTCACAGGTCCCAAGTGGAGAGATTCTAAGACTTTTGCTGCTGAATGTTCGGGTGTGGGACTCCTGATTACTCTTCAGGACAATTCCACCAAGGACTGTGGCCTTAGACCAGCAGCAGGACTAAAACGACCTCTAAAGGCCTCCGCAAAGCCAGTTAGCCGTCGGCTCGTTGGTCTAGGGGTATGATTCTCGCTTCGGGTGCGAGAGGTCCCGGGTTCAAATCCCGGACGAGCCCGCTCTATCTTTTCCCTGAGACTGCTACCTTACCTACCACAAAAGATGTTAGTGTCGCCAAGAAAGCTTCCCTAGGAAAGCGAGCAGGGAATCCGAGAGCTGGCAGAGGTTGGGCTGCCGCAAGACCTTTTGTGCTGAATTCTCTCCACCGGCAGGAAAAAGCTCAGGATGGCAGCCCTTCCCGTCATTCCAGGGCGCGCGCTGCGGGGCGACGTTTGGCCAAGACACGGACTTGCTGCCCGCTCCCTTTCCCTCAAGCCCATCCGCTGTTAGCAGCCTGGCTTCGGGGCGACCGGTGCCCTCAAACCCCAGTGGTGGTACTGTAGGCTGCGACTAGATGGGTAGGGTCGCCCCAGGGGCGGAACTGGTAGAATGAGGTCTCGGCACAGTGGGAGGCTGCGTGTCTCCACCGGACTGTCTCCAGCTGTGGTGAACGCGGAGTCTTTCAGGCCTTCGTAGACCCGAGGGCCGGCACCTTGCAGAGAATTCCGGCGATGCTCGGCGACAGGTCCGAAAGACAAACTGTCCATGGGCCGCCGCGCGAGAAAGTCAGGTCCAGGACTTCGGAAGGCCCGAGCGCAGCTCGCTCCTCGTTAGTATAGTGGTGAGTATCCCCGCCTGTCACGCGGGAGACCGGGGTTCGATTCCCCGACGGGGAGGCGCCTGAGAAGTTTTCTTTTATCTTCTAATTTTTTTCTTCCATCGGAGGAGGGATAATAAATATATCCAAATATATCCTTACTCTACATTCTAAATTTCACATTTGTGTCTTATTTAAAATAATTTGTGTTTTCATGGAATGTAAGGCTAACTTAACCATTAGTTTCTCCGCTCAATATTCTAACTGGACAAGTTCTTAAAAAGACGCATGCGCGAAGAACACAAACTGCAAACTCGCTTGATCCGGCCGCAGACGTGCCTTCCTGCTCGCACTTTGACAGTAATTAATGCGCGAGTCCAGTCTTA